CTTAACCATTCAATTTGTTACCTCGATCTACATACATGTATTTGGTCCGGCTAAAGTTCAGCAGGTCCGGATAGATAAAAAAAAAACTTTACTGGCCCGAATGTCCAGTGCTTTTTTAAAGTTTTTCGTGAAACAGCCTGACATACAAGTTTTATGTTTTAAAATCGAAATAAAACCTTACAGTAGATATTTTGTAAATTTTATCTCTTGATTTTAGATAAAACAATCACATTGTTCAGATGTCCCTACCAGAGTAATTACCAATTGTTGCTGTCTAATTAATATTCAACCCCTTGGGTATATACATTTATTTTAAGTTATTACAATGTACGATTATTCAAATAGAATTTTGTCCAGGGTATTGTTGTGTAAATATCTAACGATAAACCATGGTATAATATGTACATTTAATTAAACATTTTTTGGTCAATATCTCAAAAATGTTAAGTGGCAATATGATATATTTTATGTTACTTTGTTGTCCGGTAACTGTCATTGTGGCTTATATAGTTCATGACTGTAAATATATGTAGTGCGTGCAGTGGTGAAACATGAAACCACACAATTAAAACACGGTTGCCTCCCTCAAAATTTTAATATTAGTGCGTAACAATATGGCCCTGTGCATGTATTCATTAATATTTCAAGTACATTTTGTATTCATTTCAGAATGCCAGATACACGAATTCATTTTTTTAAATACATTTGAATAAAATTTTCAGTAATTTGTCAACAAATCATTACAAAATTTCTAAGCTTCATCTTCATTTTTTAAAATACATTCCAGGAATAGTTGCTGGAAGTAACTGCTAATCTAACAAATCGCGAACCAAATAGACAAGCATTTTAAGACGTTTTTAGAAATGCTCATAATAAGCCAGTTAACACGGGTACATGTCTATTTTAGAAAAATGACCCAATCCTGTACGTACCGTAACACGTTACAAAAATGTATCAGAAAATGCCATTTTAACCAAATGACCATTAAAACTACGTAACAAATAACAAAGATAATAAAATATATCTCACCCATTGCGGTAAGATATTCATCGAATCCTTCATTCCTCACCAGAATCCATTTTCCACCCAAGCTTTCTTCAAATCCTTCAAGAGACATGACTAAATTTTCCCCGGTGTATTCTATCGATTATCCACTCTTGAAGCACACTGAGCAAATGTTTTACTTTTCAACACTGCACACCTTTATAAGTAACATACTATTATCTTCATCCTATCTTCTCTAACGTTCAAAAGTAAATAACCATTCCCTTTATCTATTTATACAAAGTGAAGAGATAATATTATCACTTGTTCGGTACAAGAAGGTTTTATATGGACAAATATAGCCACCAACAATCGATAAAACAGAATCCGATGATTCTCTTATCATACTCTCTTCGTTGCATATAGAGCTGAATATAAATCCAATACTAGGGTGTACCAAATGACCCGTCATAGTTACAAAACTGTTCAATAATTTGATACATGTGATATGATTTTTTTTTCATTCTAATCTTCAAAATGACATATATACCTAAATACAAGTAGTCAGATCTGCGAATATCAAATGGGACTGTCAATTATTGGTCTTCTTCCACTCATGCGAACACAAAAGACAAATATCAACCGGCACGAAGCAGCAAGTACATATTTTTTCTCTTAAAAATGGTTTAGTCCATATTCAAAGATAGATTAAACCATTTTAGATATTTAGCATGTTGGCGGTTAATGTTGTCGAGTAGTCTTGGACTTTATTTTGGAATTCAAATCAATAGGCCAGTTCCACTTATACTAAATACAAATGAACGCATATGTTAATATAACAATAAACATACCAGGTCTTTACCACAAGTATTTCTTGGACATTTGAATATGTAAATCTTGATAACATGAACAAAAGGAATGAAACTCATCATCAAGTTTTTTACACATTGTACACTTCTTCTAACGGAATACATGTACTCGATGGAATCTACGAGACTCCTAATAATGCAAAGACACAATTAACCTAGTAAAAGCTATTCTAAATTTCTGAGTCTGACTTTCTAAGTGTATAAACGTGAATGAAAAAAAACCCCTGAAAATCCTTTTTAAGTGTATAAACGTAAATGAAAAAAAACCCTTGAAAATCAAAACCAATCGTTTCCCTGAACATGGGAAAATGTTTTTTTAAATGATTTTTCGACGATCTGCCATGACTGAAGATTGTTTTCACCCATACATTGTTTGAAAATACAATGCAAGCAAAATGACTATAGTTTTGGCTTTCAAAATTTTTCAAAATTTTTTCTTTCATTTGTTGCGGCATTATCAAAACGGGTACGCTGATGACCCCATGCTACAAAATGACCAGCCCTTTAAAAGCTACACTTCATGAAAACTAACTTAAAATAACTTGAAACTTGACAGGTATGCTCACATGAGCCAAATATGGAAGCTATATATCTTAGAGGGTATCTGAGGTAATGCTACAGTGATGTAGTATTGCTACTTACAGCTACGGTGTATCAAAAGAACCATCTTGATTGTAATGAAGACATACGGTATTATTTTATCGAAACATTGTTGAGACCATGATGCACTGGTTTAGTCAAGTAAACTATTATTCTAACACTATCGGAATGGTATTTTTTCTGGCCCGAAGCGTGCATTATTCTACAACAATGCACGCGCCGTTCTTTTTATCTCCCTGTGTGTTTTCACATTGAGGGCGCCATTTTGTTTGAAAAATCTGATAAATAAAAACAATATTTTGTCGAATTTTGTTGTGAAAACTATCTAGAATGAAAGAAAATGGTCTAACTAAGAAAATGAATCCGAACACCAATATCTTTAATTCAGTCGTTAACGCTGTACAGACGTTTAAAGTGTTGTTTACGTGAGGTAATGTAGCGCCAAACATCACGTGCAAAACAACCAAATCAAACTATTTTAATGTCGCAAACGAGTTAAGTTTTACATTTATTTCACTTTTTATAAGTTGTATTTCGCTTGAGAAGTTATAGAGTGAAATAAAATAAACAAAGTTCTATCAACGTTATAAATTCGTTATTCTGAAAATGTTTCCACACACGGTAGATTTAATGACAGTTCTGTTTCAACCCACTGGAACAGCCTTTCTTTAACCACCAAAAAAAGTCCAACTTAATAATAATAATTGTATTTTTTCTTGACGTGTTAGAATGGAAATAGATATTAATTTTTCGTGCATTATTGTATAATAATGCACGTTTTTCGTTCAAATGCTTTGTAATTAATCACTCAGGCCTATCGGCTTTCGTAATTATATTACTACGCATTTGAACTCAAACCGTGCATTTTTCTACAACAATGCACTCAGAATTGATATCTATTTCCTAATTATACGGTGTACATTTATTAACATTTTTGTGTGAAGAATGGCAAAATTTAAATCATGGTATAGTAATTATTCTTTGGAGATCTTAAGCAGCATGCCGCAAGATTTATGCTAATTTTCATGAAAATTTTGAATATACATGTATATTACAAAATAAAAATATTGTGAAGTGAACAAGAAAATAATTTTCGTTTAAATTACTGCGTTAGTAACGCAGTAGAAATATGGTGAAAAATACTGTAAAACGGGACATAAATCGCACATAACATGGAAATAATTACTTTTGTTTTGAATCTTTTTACTTTTCTTAAATCTTAGAACAATTTCCTCAAGTTTGATTTTACTTGAAATAGTTGGGTTCATCTGGAGGCATGCAGCTTTAACCCTTGCCCAGCTAAGGTTTGGGACTATCCATTGTTAACTAACATTATGGATGTTAATATCAGAATGTTAAATATAGCTTGTTTGGACTATCAAATGTTATTATAAGCTATTTTGAACAAAACCACTCATATTTTTTATGGACAATTTTAAAATACAATGTATGTACGACCTGAAATAACAAACAGTGAAGACCACGAGGAGACCACACGGATACACTGGTCGCATGAGTAGAAGTTGTTGCTGCCAGTAGCGTTATGGAGGAAATATTACTGAAGTAAAGTGTATAAGGCTACTAGTAAATATTTGCTGCAAAAAATATTGTTTGAATTACTTCTCACTTCCCCTCGGAGCGTGCACGTCGATGAGAAGGCACAGGGCATCGGCAAAAGATTAACAGCTTGGCTGGTAGCAAACACAACTGAACTAAACAGAAGCCCCCCGTAGGCTGTAACAACGGGATCGCTACTTCGTCAACAACTGCGGAACAGCTGCCAATGTCCTGACTAATGCCGAGGGGAGTGGCCCTACAAAGTAGGCTGAGACGACGAGGATGGTGTGCTAGGGTGCGTGAGCCCGTAGTACAGATAGACGGTTTGTAAGGCAGGCCTTTTGCTGGCACCAACAGCCCTTTTCAGGGCTACCCTTTCATATTGTCACAGGTTACTGTACATTTAGGTTCTCATTGACCGCCGTACAGTGACCTACTTTTGGCTCAAAATTCATATCTTTGGCTAATACTCCGTGGAAATTGCATGGAGGTAAATTATCACCACTTTGTGCTTCAAAATTAACTCTTTAAGGGCATGACTGGTGACATGTCCGGGGTCCGTACTCGACAGCGAAAGCTGCATTTTGTGCCCGAAAGGGCGGATGGACCCTCATTAAGCATTAACTACATACATACATCGTTTGAATTAAAAAAAGAATAATTCCAAAATGCTTGTATAGTAAATTGGCATGAAAGCGAATGGGAAATGCACGAAATCATTGTAAATAACAGAGATATTTTATGTTATTAATCTTAAAGTTTGAAGAATCGATCATAAAATTATGGAAACAATGAGTGTCTTTTCATTGTTATACCTTTATTTTTTGTATGTAATTAATATAACGGGCACTTTGGGATGAAGCTCAAAAACGCCATAAAATCAAACAGATAAAAATAAAAATGTGTATTTGTAAATCCCAGCACATACACTTTACCATGTTTATCAATAAAACCCAATGTAAGCTGTTTTGAAAAGGAAAACAAATCATATTTTAATGTATATCACTTTATTTAAAATTGCATATGATTAAGTCTACACGTTTTCTATATGGTTTATTTTCTTCACAACATTGAATGAAGAGACATAACTCAAATTGTTACAAGGTTAATCCATTCGAGTTACGTCCCATTCTGTAACGTCAAAAGTGCAAATATGTTAAAACCAGTAAGTAATGAAACACTTTTATATCAGATATAGATTTCTTATTCATTGAATAGACTTATACTACTTCCTGGGGAACTGTGATACAAGCTAGATCACTAAGACTACATGGTGTTCAGATGTATTCATTGGACAACAAACAAAGGTCGTTTATTAAGATTTAAACAACTGCTATCGAAGTCAATCTTTCTTTAAACTCTTAAAAGTAATAATTTTTCGGCTCTTTCCGTCAGACTTCGGTAATGAAATAACTCGATAATACCTAGATAAAATATAAAACCTTGGCAGGTAATATATCCATAAATATCACTCCAAAACCCAAATAACATATAATATGGTCATTTCTAAACGATTATCCTTATGCTACAAGTATTAAAGTATGCGTTTTTCTCTATTTAATTGATATACATGACTGAAAAATATCAAATTTAAGAAATGGTAAAATTCGTTTGATCTAATTGTACTACAATAGTCAATATTGCCAAGTATTGCAAAAAAAGTATTGAAGAATGTGACAATGTTTGGCTTTAAATTACCATATATGTATATTGCATTATAATTTTATAGTAAGATATAATCTACACTACAAAATAAATGTAAAACAATTATGTATGCAATCACAAAACAATGACTATTTGTTTAATTAATTTCAAATATGATCGTGCAACCTTGTTTATAGATTCAAAATAAATCTGTCGACACAAATGCCTTAAAATTAAGTATTCTTTTAAAAGAAAATTCGATTATGAAAATACTTCCCTCATATATAGAAGAAAGAAAAATACACCCCGCCCCCTATAATTATGTAAAAAACATTAACAAAAAACTTAACAAAGAAAAATAAATCAATACTTGAATGTGAGGATTAATTTTATCAGAAAATATTGCAAAATTCAGATTTATTTCGATAAAAACATTGCAATATATATGCGGATTTTATTATCCAAAAAAACACATTGCGATATGCGGATTTATTTTATGCAAACTAAATTATATGCATCATTAACCCTGGATACGAACTCGTTGATAAAATATCACAGATGCAATTTCCTTGAGATTACATAAAAGTCAAAATATATCGTAAATATACACACATAAACTGTCAACATCTCGGACTAGATCTATTTTCTCAGTTATTTGTAGCATGACTCTCATGTACGATCTATCTTATACATGTAACCGGTGTTATTCAACTTTTTTGAAAATTCTTCTGCACACAAATCCACCTTTTTCGTCCGGTAGCGTCACTTCCTGAAGTGAACAAAATAAATAAGAATGTAAAGCTGTTTCCAGAACTACTTTAGATTAATTAAAAATAAGACGCTATAACATTACTGAAAATCCTTTATGTTATTTTACTAATTTTACAATGGCCAATTCGATTACGAGATTTCAGCTTGAATTTTAAACTGACCAATGAAATTTTTACATATATTCAGTTCATCCCTGTACATTTTACAGGACGTCCAACCGATATCAGACCTTCAGCCGATATCAGACCTTCAGTCGATATCAGACCTTCAGCCTAAACAAAGCCTCAAAAGTAAACCATTTACAAAAAAAAATCCGGAAGACGGTCTATAAAGAATTTCCAGACATCTAAATTAATGTTTCTGTGAAAATATTCTACTTTATTTAAGCAATTGAGTAAATATTTATAAGAAAACATATGTCACATATGAGCAAACCAACCGTAAAAGCTCAAAGAGGCAATGTGGATTGTATCTAATAAGGAATGAAATGGTTTTCATTATTGAAATGGTTGACAGATGTTTTATAACATTGTACAGGGCCGGACAAATCTGATTTTGAATAATTTGTCTGTTTCATGCATATGAATCATTTTTTCACTTGTCTGTCTGATATTTATTAAGTAAATTCTTCAAAAATATATTTTGTCCGTACATGCTGTGGGACAACCCCTGCAATTGATTTCTCTAGCCCTGAATTTGTATATAACAATATATCTAAGTCTGTTACACAAAAATTTCAATCGTTTGCCAAAGCTACCAATTGTTCATATTTAACAGCAAAGACTGTGCAACACCACAGCAAACAACATTTCGGCGGTAAAGTTTTAGTTACCATTATCAATTCTTTAGTTTCTTGGTCTATTTTCCTTTCTACAAACGCCTTCTTAGCTTTGGAATCGTCAATGGGATATGACTCTGTTCTGAGTACTCTAGTTTCTGGATTCCAATTCACTTTAACCTGCAAATAATAAAATACTTATTACCTATTCTTATTACTCATATAAATTTGGATATTCATAATAAATTCATAGTAGTGGTTTTATCATCTTCAAATTTAAACCCTTAAAGGCACATTATGCTTAAGAAACGAATCAATGAATGGGCAAACATGCATTTTATACCGTCTACATAATAAGTTTAGAGCATGTTGGATGCTTATTGCCTGTTAAATGTGAAATAATTTGTCACAAATGTTGCAAAATTTAAACAAAGTAGTATTTTGACTTCCATACAAAACACTCAAACACTATTACTGTACTAAATGCCAACAAGTAACCGAATTTTAGGCAACTGGCCAATCAGTAACTTTTTGAAAACAATATACACCAACAATAAAAAAGACTTTTAAAAAACTTGTCACACATCTTCGGTGCGTGTACGTCGCTGAGAAGGCACATGGCATCGGCAGAAAATTTGAAGAACTCGGTAGGCCAGAACCTGTAACTGCGGACCAGCTGCCGATGTCCTGACTAACGCTGAGGGGATGTGGCTCTACAAAGTAGGCAGGGACGACGAGGAAAGTGTGCTAGGCTAGGGTGCGTGAGCCCCTAGCACTGAGATTGACAATTTGAAAGGCAGGCTGTTGCTAGCATAACAGCTACATCCGAAATGGTCGATAATAACGTAACATATACAACCATTTCAAATTGTACGTGAATCGATGTGCTACAAATTTATTATATACTTTTAAATGAAATGTTGAAAAATATTGATGAAATAAAATGCGTATTTTCATTTTCAGTATTTTCACTGTAAAAATTTATTTTTTACTGCAGTGAAACATATTTTCCGTATTTTCACTGGTGTCTTGCCGGACTACTTTCTTTTAAATTCTGCCAGTACTCAAAATTTAAGGGAAAGTCTTTCAAATTTTAATGTCCAGAAAGAAAAATGTATATAATAAACAGAAAATTCAAGTTTTTTCTAAAAATACATGATTTATTTTCATCTTGTGGCATGAAAATTACCATATTTCACTCATGGCTACCGCCACTCATGAAATTTTTATTTTCATACCACTCGATGAATATAAATCATGTATTTATAGAAAAAACTTGAATATCCTCTCTATATTAAGCAGTTTAACTTTATTCACACTGGTCCTTGTCAATTTTATTTACATTGTAGTGTAATTCTTTCTTTTGATTTACAATTTTAAACTCGCGTTGATATTTCAATATCGATAGAACGTGTATTTAAAAATAATGTCATCTACAAATATGATCCCTCTTTAAAGTATGAATATATATATTATCGATTTTAAATACCACATAGTTGCATAATGGGATGTGTCATGTAGTATTGTGAGAGGCCCGGGAGTTTGTTCCCATGCTAGATCAAATTTTAATTGACAAAATTTAGCCTCTTTCTACATTAAATTGCCTTGTTCTTGGCAGTCTTTACTTTAGATTTAATGAGTTAAAACAGGAGCAATAACTCTAATAATCATGCAGCTAATCATCTTAGAGTTATCTGCACTACAAGCAAGCCAAGTTACAAAACAATGTTCACTATAAAAAATCAAGAATTTTGGGTTGGATACACAATTGGAATTTTACAAACTGAACAATCTAACTTAATCAGCTCGACAAATTGAAGTGTGCTAAAGACAACAGTTTTGAAGAAGAGATCAGGATAAAATCGTTTTTCATAAAGACTTGCGTGATCATCCATTTTGTTTGTTTGTTTAATTTGGTTTTACGTCACACCGAACACATTATAGGTCATATAGCGACGATCCAGCTTTACTGGTGGAGGAAGACCTCAGGTGCCCTTCCGTTCATTACTTCAGGCACGAACGGGCACCTGAGTAGAACCACGTATTTAAGTGCCTTCACGTACATAACCGGAGAAGATAGATTAATTGATAGCATTATGCAATTAATAAAGAACTTAAATGTATTGTAATATTGTATATCAATTCATAATGACCTACTGACCTTAATTTTATTATCAAAAGGATCGACCTCCTCAACTTCGTCCCCTAAAATTACCACAGAATCCGAATGTTTGGGTCCATCACTGACAATACGGACCCTCTTATCGTCCAGTTTAGTTAACTCCATGACAGTCGTGAACGCACATGCTATTTTCCTTTTCAGGAAACCGATTCCTGTGTAAGAAGGGAAAACTTTCATTTAGAAATGTTTTATATAGTATTACGAAAATAGTATCAATTATTCTAAATAGTAATAATGACAAAGATGAAGTTTTTATGGTAACTTCCTAGCTATAGTTATATTATATTATGAAAAAATGCGTATGTTCTCTTCTATTTATTCTCACTCATGATCACGATTTTGTATTTTTAATTTTATGGACATGTTTTTGTCGTGTGAAGCACTTCTGAATACACTGTTTAAATGGCTATCGGTACAGATATATATATGTTAATTATACTCAGTTGCAAAATAGGAAATTATGTACTATGTATAACGTCTTATAGAGTCGCCTGGAATATTATTCCATTCAAATATTCAAATATAATGACGCATTCATAAAAATCATAAGTTTGCAACACGTGCACAATTTCCTTTGTAACCGAGTGTATATAATAAACCCAAGAAAGGTTCAGGTGTGTCGATCTTAGACCGCATATATCTTTGCCTGCATGGGTTGTGCTTGTCCCCAGGGTAGACACACTAATCCATTTACATGTGTATTTACCCGTTTCGATTGCCAATGAGATCGCTTATAGACCTTTAACACTTACTATTTTCGGAACCTTTTTGTGGAATTAGAAAAATGTACGCTTAATAATTTTAGGAAACACACATTTAATGAATAATGCACGAGTATATATGTATACATGTACATTATTAAAATATTAGGGGACCTACACATAACTTGAACATTCAGTATATGATTAACTATTAAACTTGTATTAAGTCAGTATGGATTAATGTGGAATGTACACCACACACGCATGTAATGTCATGTACTGCATAGTGTCAAACAAGTACAGCCTGGAGGCTTTAATAGTTTAGTTGTCAATCGATGAGAACACGCGGCCGCGTGATTGAGTCAGACAGTTCTTAATACATGTACAGAAATAAAATAAATATTCTCACTCACCCATTAGACTTAGATACTCATCAAAATTCTCGTTCCTGAGCAGTTTCCATTTCCCTCCAATACTTTCATCGAAACCTTCCATTTTGTACTTAATTTGTAGAGTTTAATTTATAACATTCGTCGACTTCAGCCAGTATGTTTACATGGAGTTACGTGTGCTAAAAATAGACCAGACGGATTTACGTCTGTTTTCGTGTTACTATAATTAGCATAAAAGCCCGTCCAGGGTGTTTTTATTTAAATGATAATTATTAGATATCGCGCTAACTGCTGGTTGAATAGACGTCTGATTTATATACTTTATTTCCTACATCACTTTACACCATTCGAATAAGGACTGTATAATACAGAAGATTTGATTTCTTGTTTGTTTGTTTGTTTGTTTGTTTGTTTCATTTTACGCCTTTTTCCAACAGTATTTCAGTCATATAGGCGGGTACGTAGTTTCCTAACCATCGTTCATGGAGAGTTACACCAGTACTAGACTACCTTCCTCTGCGCTAAACTACCAAAGCATTTCCCGGGGATCAAACCCACGCCAGAGAGGAAACTGGATTAGAAGTAATCGACTCTAACCCCTCGACCGCGGAGGCGGTCCAGGAGATTTGAAACTCTGAAACTCGCACAATAATTGTCTAAACACCTAATCTGTCTGAACTAGGCTATTCGGACTTGTCAACAAATTTTGGAAAAAAGTTGTTATCTTGTTGGGCTTATGACATAATAAAAGAAGAAGATAAAAACACGTTCAGAATCACCTATTGATTCTAGCTATTAAAATGCATAAATGCATGTTATGGTGTACATATTAAAATCTGACCATTTTTTTTCTTCACTAGTTTACTTTCATGCCAACAAGGGTTCACTAAAATGAATTACCGTAAATTTTAAAGATCACTGAAAGGTGCTATTTCAAAACTATTGGTATATAGTATGGGCGGACAGACAGACGCACGACCGAAAATATTATACATGTATATATACTGATTACATTATGTCTGATTCAAACATTACACATTATGTTTTATAATCTCTCGATCTTAAAATTATAGAAAAGTGCTCTGCAACTCATAACAATTTTTTGTTACAGGTCTATAAATCCATTTACACCTCTGCGCTGGACAATAACAGTTATAGACAAAACAACGAAATTAAATCGTTGATATAAACGCGACTCAGCAAATATCAAACTTCTGAATACTTTTTTTTTAGATTATCACATAGCCTTATCAATTTTGCTAACCACCTTACCCTGGGTAAATTTTTGTGTTACTGTGTTTTAGATTAAAACAGATCAAACAAAACTGTATCACTACAAACCTTATATCTGGTTTGTTCTAAACATCAGGAAAGTAACAAGGGTTTACGTTTTTTGTAAATATTTTTTATAATTTCATTTTGAAATATTTTAGTTACTTTTTTTTGTTCTAAAGAAAATATACATTTATGTTATTTTACCATTTAGACCTATCATATGTATATAAAAGTTTTATTAGTAGCATTTTTATGAATTTTGGAATTGGGGTCAATTATCTTTAGCAAATTGAGATTTCATCTCTATCACTGAAACTCGTGACAAGGGTCAATAACTTAATTTATGACATCACCTCCTCTCCTTTTCAAAAGACCCTGACATCAACCACATCCCTTTTCCATCACCAGGAGCCACGAAAATTTACCGCTCTTACACTGCTGACATCATTAAATCTTCGATCATCAATCATCAACCATCATCCTCTCGTAGCCAATTATCACATCATCATCCATCCATCTTAATCCTTTTCACCAAATTTGTCGTCGTCGTTGTCCTGAATTTGATGCGAGGATCATCATCAAGAATCAAAAGGCACAAAGTTTTCCAGCACCATTCATCATTGTATTAATGAAACAGCCAGCAGACCAAATTATTTTTCACGGGGTTTTATTTTCAACTGTTTTCATTACAGGTGGTGAGATATATGTTTATATACAAGGTCTGCTTTCATATTTACAGCATGGACCATAGGTATCTCATTTTAAAATGTTTCTTTAATTAGCACAACATATCCATTGTGTGTAATTTTAAATTTCACCTGAAACATCTGCCTTTTTTCTTTAGAATAATAATCTTTATGTTATTGAAACTTACATTATATTAAAAATCTAATTTTAGATACACATATAGGAAGACTTGTTTATAACGACCAATGAACAATACATTATGTATTGTTTATATATAGTTCATAAAATGGTTAATGTTCATTGTTCCTAAAGATCGTTCTCATATATGTTGTAATATCCGTAATAACACTGACTGTGGGAAAAAATTTTAACAGACGACAGAAAATATACATGTATATCTAGTGAAATATTGATTAGTGATATATAAATTTGGTGTTATTCTATATCATTCGTCAACTTTAGCATGTGAAATACTTAAAACGGGTTTTTTTTTTTTCCTTTTAAAAAATGCAAAATTCATGAGCGTAAAATTTGGAAAGGTATTTTGGTTTGTTGGTTTTTTGGATATTCGTAACCAATCCAAACCCGTTGGGTAATTTAAAAAATTTCCACTGTCCCCGCAAAAAAATTTTCCGAAAAATCATCTTTTTTTTAAAAAAAAGGGGGAACTATTGGTTATTTTTTCTTAATTTCAAAAAAAATTTAATTTTAATTTTAAATTTTTTTTTGCCCGTCTGCCACATTTTTTAATTTTGGGGTCCAGATGTTATTCGGATATAGGGGGGAGTTTGGGGGGGCCCATGTTCACCACCTGGGGGGGAGGTTTCGGGGTTGGGGCCTTTGGGTTCCCAAGGATCCCCCCCTAAAGAAAAAAAAGATTTTGGCCCGTGTCCTCCCTTTATGGCAAAATTTTTTTGGCGGGAAATGTAACTGCCGCACAGGAACGGCAGGATATTGCTGCACTGGCAAGTATCTTCCATCTTTAGAAACAGCGTAAAGGGGCTTAGAAATCAAGGGAAATTGACAGCATTCTTTTTGGTTTTTTTAAAAAGGTCGCTCAAGTTCGTTTATGGTGATTTCGTATTTTTTTTAAGATTTTTTCATGCATAATATTTTAAATAGGGTTGAAATACTAAAAAAAATGAAAATCCTGGGGGGCTTTAAATTTAAAAAAAACAATGCCAAACTGGGTTTGATTGAGTCTGTAAGCTTTTAAAATTGATATTCTTGCTATTTATTCTTCAGATGTCGCCGAATGTGCCAGCAACCCATGTAAAAATGGCGGTGTTTGTATAGAAGAAATCAACAAGTACAGGTGTAACTGCCCAGCAGGCACAACAGGACCAAATTGTGACGGTGGGAGTCACTTATTTTAATTGTTAATTTAATTTGTCTGTGCATCAAAATTATTAAATGAAAGGAAGTATCAAACGGCATTAAAGAAAAGATATTTTGTTGTTTATTCTATGATTAAGTTATAATTCTGATTGCTAATTGAGTACATGTTTATAATATACATGTAATATGGTGTGTTCTCATGCATATGAACGTATTTACCTATTGTATGTTATTATATGTGTTCAAAAGTTTTCTTTCAAATTTTAAATTTTTAAAAAAAAAGGGAAGATAAGTTTAGTTAAAAATTTTATTTTAGGGAAATTTTTGAAAGTTCGGTAACCCCTGCAAGAATGGGGGCACGTTTTCACGAAGGGAAAATCAATAAAACGTTTTGTAGTTGGGGTTTCCTGGGGGCAACCGGGGCCCAAAATGTGACGGGATTTCCAAAAATATTTTTATTTAAAACGTTAAATAAAAATAATAAAAATATTTAAAATAAAAATTTAATTTAAAAATTAAAAATAATAAAAATAAAAAAAATTTAAAAATAATAATAATTTTAATTATATGTTAAAAAGAAAATCTGGAATTTTGGGCCCCTCTTGAAAAATTTTTTCCAACTTTGTTTTGGGAAAATTTTTTTTTTTTTTTTAAAACTTTTTAAAGTTTTGGGGGGGGGGGTTTTAAAAATTTTGAAATTTTCTTTTGTTTGTTAAAATTAAAAATCCGATTTTTTCTTAATTTTTCTATTTGGTTTTTAAATTTTAGAAAATTTTGGAGTGTAAAATAATCCCTTTTTTAAAAAACGGGACATGTTTGGAACAAACGGTGGTTTAAAAAACGTGCCCGTTTTTCTTTACGGGAAAACCCCGGGGTACAATTGGGGTTTGGGTTTTTGACTTTACAATTTATTTTGGGGGTTTTTTTTTAACAAAGGGGAAACAAAATGTGCTAATTGTTTATTAAAAAAGCAAGATTTTCCTCTCTTTATACGAGTGTAATTTTCGGGTTTTGGCCTTTTTAAAAAAAATTTGGGGCACCCCTTTAAAGTACACGTGTCTTTCACATGGGAAGCAAAATAAATTTTTTTTTAAAACAAAAAAATTTAAAATTTAAAAATGAGTTTTCTTTGTCATCCATTAAAAATCGTATTTTGGGGAATTTTTTTTTCAGATATTCCCCAATGTATCAGTAACCCGGGGCCAAAAAGGCGGCACGTGGGGTAATCTAAAAAAATGTAAAATTGGGCTGCCCGCCGGGAAAATTTTTGGTGTCAAAAAGTGAGAAGAGTAAGTCAGGATTTATTTTTTATCAAAATGTTGAAATTCTTGTTTTAAAAAATATGAAAAATACCAGTTTCCATTTTTATATATGTTTTTTTTTTTCCTTTAAAGGAAAAAAAGCTTTTCCTAAAAGAAACGCAAAAAAATGATTTTAAAAGATTAAAACCCTAGAATTGTCGTAGAAAAAAAATCCTAATTCAAAATAACCCAAAACTAAAAATGCCCTTATATTTTTGTCCCGGGTGCCCCCGGGGGTTCAAATTCGTTTTCTGATGGAAATTAAAATTTTAGCCCAAAAATTTATTTATAGTTAGGAAAATTTTTCATTGAAATTTTTTTTTTTGGCCAGTTTACTTTTTTAAAAAAACACTTTTGCAATTTTCTTTGCTTAATTTTCATGTTTACAGATTTTTCCCGGCTCTACATGGGTAGTGTTTTGCCGCACCGGAAATAGGGCGGAGCTGTTTAATTGTCTTCCCCGGACCAAAGGGGGGAAAAAAGGGAAAAAAAAAAAAAAACAAAAAAAAAAACTTTTCCTTTCAAGGACCGGTTTAAATAAAACAAAAAAGATTCCCCAAAAAATTTGTTGTAATTTGTATTATGAAAAAAATAATAAAAACTAACTGTGGTTTTTTAAAGGGAAACCACGTTTGAATTGTTTTAAAAAAAAATATGCACAATCATAACCACTTTAAAATACAATGCCATTTGAGAAGTAAAATTTTTTAATTTTTAACCAGACTTTCCTTTTGGGTTTTTGAAGGTTTTTAATTTTTCCCGGGTGCTTTGATACTTTGATTCCTTTTCCCTTTTTCAGGAATTTTGTGAAGCAAGAAAAGGGAAACTTTTCGTTCCAGAAATACAGAGAGGCCTTTTTGTTGAAAACTATTGGAAAACTATGAGAGGTAAAAAAAATAATTTTTTTTGTTTTGGGGCAAATTTGGGTTACAATTGGGTTGGGAAACAGTTTTTTTTAAACGGTGTTTTGATTTCAAAAATGAACATTTCCCCCTATTTTCCATGGGAAATGGGAAAAACATTTGTAAACATCAAAGGTGGAGGGAAAAAGGGCAAATAATTAATTTACCTAAACCTAAATTGGGGAAAAATGTCATTTTCACCCCGGGGGTTTTTAAATGACGAACAGATTCGACGGCTGTTTGTTTTCCGAACAATATGTAGCGTCTGTTAAAAGAAGTAAAAAGATTTGTAACAATGGCTAGTATTTGCTCTGTACTGGGATTTCTTTCTAGAATCCCTTATGGGTAAAATTATTATGACTGATAATTTTTTTAAACATGGGGTTTAAAACATTAACGCTGCTAAAATATATAATGGGCTTACCATAAATTTCAGTTTAGAGGGTTTCATTCACAAACTACAAGTTTAATCTTTGCGATTAATCTTAAACAATTGGCGAATATATATCAGCCAAAGCATAATCAATGTGTCAGTACAAAATGACTTGAACTAACCATTATCAATGTCTGGGTTAATTAAATTGTCATAAAAGAATTCAGTTAAAATAGAAATGATCAAACCCATTAGCTTGCATGCGTGCAAGAATGTAGAAATCTACCAATCTGACCGGTGTAGACTCAAAATCAACCAGCACATTCATTTGATCATCGTCTGCAATGTTCGTTATTCAGTTGGTACTTATATTAAAAAATTTCCCTAAAAAAAATGACTAGCTGGTTAAGATAGACAGGTCCATTTAATATAAGTAGTTCGATAAAAGTTAATGAGTTTCTTGTATTGTTCAGTGAGATATCCAGAAGCTTTGTTTTGGTTGGGAGCCAAGAAGTCGGGGACAAATTCACCTCAGTGGGTACATCAGTAAACACGTGAAACACTTTCAGGTAAACTATTTATAATCAACCATAAATGAGCCGCGTCACGACAAAACCAACATAATGGGTTTGCGACCAGCATGGATCCAGACCAGCCTGCGCATCGCGCAGTCTGATCAGGAATCCATGCTGTTTGCTTACAAACCCTATTACATGTACAAGTAGAGAAAGTGATAGCGAACAGCATGGATCCTGATCAGACTGCGCGGATGCGCAGGCTGGTCGGGATCCATGCTGGTCGCAAACCCATTATGTTGGTTTTGTCATATCAACAATAAATGTTTTTTTTGAAAATCAGTAAACCTTTTGCAGAGGACTAGTATTTTCTTTCTACTGTGTAGGAATTACACATCATAAATAAAACTAATCGTACCCTGTCCAGGAAACACAATAGAATTATATGAATTACAAAAGAAATTCTCTAAAGGAATTGTGATCTAAATATTGTTGTTTCGACCAATTAAAATCGAGTAATATTCATGTATATTGAATAAAGACAGAAGAAGTAAAATTTACCTCGTGACCCCGAAATTGTAGCCAGAACTTTAGTTGTATACTAGTTACGGGGAAATTTCCTCGAAACCCCCGGGATTTGTAGTCGGAAACTAAGTTATAGTAACAGGGAAATTTCCCCGAGGCCCCCGGGATTTGTAGTTGGAACCTTAGTTGTAGTAACGGGGAAATTCCCTCGAGACCCCCGGGATTTATAGTCGGAACCTTAGCTGAATTAAGTAACAGGAAAATGTCATCGAAACCACGAGATTTGTAGTCGGAACCTTAGTTATAGTAACGCGGAAATTTCCTCGAGACCCCCAGGATTTGTACTTAGAATCTTAGTTATAGTACCAGGGAATTTTCCACGAGACTCCAGGGATTTGTAGTTAGAATCTTAGTTATAGTAACGGGGAAATTTCCTCGAGACTCCAGGGATTTGTAGTTTGTATCTTAATTATAGTACCAGGGAATTTTCCTCGAGAATCTGGGATTTGTATTCAGAATCTTATTTGTAATACGGAGATTTTACCTCGAGATACTGAAATGTGTAGTCAGAATCTTAGTTGTATTAGCGGAGAATGTTCCTCGAGAGCCCGGGAATCGTATCTAAGTTGTTTTAGCGAGAACCCGAGATTTGTAATCAGAATCTTAGTTGTAGTGGCATGAATATTTTCCTCGTGACCCTCGGCATTGTCCTCGAGGAAAAAGTTTGGGTAGCGGGGAATCTACCCCGAAAACTCGAGATTTGTAGTCGAAATCTGTTGCAGTAGCGAGTTGAGTTTACCTCAAAATCCCGGGATTTGTAGTCAGAATTTTATTTCAATATAATAATAATAATAATGTAAAGTTATTTTTACACATCCAGGTGGCCATATGGTGTATCGGATGATTTACCAGGAACACAATGTCTGGCAATGGACGGCAGATACAACTTCAAGTGGCAGGGATTCTCCTGTGACAGACCTACTTACTTCTTATGTGAAGAAAAGTAACTTATTATTATTCTTAAACTGTACAAAGGAATCAAAATCAAAATTTTATTCTCTGGCAGAACTTTTTCTTTATGTGAGAGTTTATTAAAGTAACGTAGATACTGGTATGATTTTATTCTTTAAGGCAGGTTTTAAACGATACAAATACTGCTCAAGTAGGACTTGAACTTTGAGGTGACAATTTCTTAGAAATATACCATATTTAAGTGTGGGTAATGAAACAATATTAGGTGATAGGCTGTGGAAAACCGTTCTTTGGAAAGAATGGAAATTTGTAGTAGTCTGTTGGGATTAACCTATAGTTTAGCATGGGCGTGCCCGGGGTGACTTCCGTATGGGTGAAAAAATCTCACTTTTGTACAACCCGCTTTTGGTCAATGACGACGAAGATCTAGTCGGTGCCAATAAGGTGAATTTCAGGAGTGTGGATATATCAATCCTCCATCCAAAACCATTTTTATTGAAACTCGGAACAACATAACAAAGCAACATAACAATTTAGTTTGATATAACTCTTTGCTTGTCAGTATTATTTATCTACAAAAGATTCTATTCATGCAACCAGAGCAGAAAGTGACCAAAATAAATCACATATGTGCCATCAGGCATGCCTGTACTGATAGTTATTCAATCAGTATTTTTTTTAAAAAATCTCTAAAAATCGTGGCATGGTTTTGTCTTCATGTAAAGATGGGCAAGACCATTAGATATTTAGGGATTAAATAAGTAAAACATAGCAGTCTATGGTTAAACAATCCTCCTTCCAAGATAATTTATTATTTACTCTACAAAAAAGGCCATAAATATAACATTGAATTTTACATGCATGAATTTTACATATAGTCCAAAATTATCGATATCCAAAGGAAAACTTTCTATTTTACAACTTTCTATTCAACTTTTTCTCAAAGTTATTTTACTTTTTAACCATGGTGATTTAGCTAAATTATACATGTATCTCTATTACATTTTCAGGGTACCATTCCGTTTAAACCAGACTCGTCCAGCTGTTGGCTAAAAGGAGGTATATAAAAATAAAGACATCAACAACAACAAAAAAGACAATATGGTTTAACAAATGATTTATATAGAGATTTTATTCACATCAGAAATGTCAGAGTTAATTAATAGAGTATTTGACAACAGAGAAAATATTTATTTCAGAAATGTAATAAAATAATTGTTAATATACAATAAAGAAAATAGTGTAAAAATCTTTTCTTAGAAAAAAGTCAGTAACAATATATACAAATATGACTTTAATATAAACTCAGAAACAATAATAACAACAGTATGCTTCTTAAACAAAAAAATGTTGCAACAATGACAACAACAACAATAATAATCTTATTTGGATTTCTTATCATGATTATATGTGAAGTGTTTATAGTCAGATGTTATACAAGAATTGTATATTGTCTGTTCATTTACTTTAAATAATAATAAAAATTCATGACTTGCAAGGATATGATATAAAATTGCAGAATTCAAAAACTGATGAGTAAAAATGAGAAAATCTATTGAAATGCTATTGAAAAAAAGTCCGTCGAAATGGGCGGGGCTTATTTTTGATATCAAGTTACTTACCTAATATCAAAAATAAATATCAAGCAAGTGTTATCAGGCAGTTGCCATAGCAGATTAATATCCACCGCATGGTCAGGACTCGTTAACTTAAGCATTTTCACAGTGCTAGTTCGATACACTTAATCTTTTAATAATTCAAGCTTTCTATGTTGAAAAAAATTGGCAGATACATAAAAAATTTACTTTAATGTTTAGAGATATTCCATTGTTTTCTTTCTTAGGGATCATTTCATGACAAGACTTTTTGACATAAAAAGAAGTTGTGTTGACTCTAGAACAGGAACGAATTTAATTTAGGGCACCTGAAGATATATAAATCTTGAAAAATGTTTCAATCCGTCTTCAAAGAAGCATTTATTTAATCTATAGCTGATAGCAGCCACAGAATGATATTATCAAAGCCACCAGTGCAGACCAAGATCAACCAGCACATCTAAGTTTTCTAGTTCATAGTCTGTACTGTCTGCTTTTCAGCTGGTAGTTATAATAGTGAAAATTTCCCTAATGATGATGAATGGTCATGTCCAGATTATATAATGGACAAGTCTATATAACATATTGAGGGTGAAAAGATTGAAAAAAGGAGAAGATCGAACACACCCTACTCAGCTCTATGGAACATTTGTTATAACTGCTGTTAATCATTTAACAATACAGCTTCATCAATGTTAAGACAATTCATATTTTATTTTGTTTAAATTTCATTAATTTGTTGAGATATCACAATCAATACATAAGAACCTGTTGCTAAAGGGACTTGTCCATGCCCCCGTAAAGTCATTAAAGTGACATTATGCCCATTTTTATGTTGTCAAAGTGAGTTGAGTTAGTAATATATTTCAAAAGGTTGGCAACCATTATAGTAATTCATCAATAATTGATAATGAAAATAAGTAATGATACAGTATATAAACTACCAAAAATATGAAAAATACTGCCTCACACTTTTTAGGAATTGAGTGTTGCAGATATATTCTGAACGACACTGATAGAAATTTCAGTGGTCACATGGATTATTTGCTATATTTTCATAGTAAAAAATAAAACTGAACATATTTATGACGAAATGTAAAGTGATTTTTTTTTCAACATGTTTAGTAACCAGGTACACTTGAATGGGCCAAAATGTCACTTTAATAATTGAATCAACAATTAAAGCTCACATAAATCTTCCTATCTGGTAACAGGGATGTATAAAAAATATTTCTACAGACAAGAAGGAACAATATAAATCACACTTTCCTCAAAATCAGTAATGAACTACATATACTTTTGGAATGAAACAGCGGCGGATTTAGGGGCTAGCACGTTCGCATTACCTTGAAAACAGATTTAACTGGTATTGAGAAAGTTATTTTATACAGTGATGGTTGTACTTACCAAAATAGAAATGTAACTTTATCATGTGCTCTTCGCCGGTTTGAAGTTACACATAATATTGAAATTGAGCAGAAATTCCTTGAAAAAGGACATACCTACATGGAATGCGACAGCGTCCATGCAGCGGTTGGAAGAAAAATAAAAAAACAAGGATATTTACATCCCACAGCGATACGTTGAACTCATTCAGGATTCGAGAGAAAGCCAAAATAATCCATATCAAGTGAAGTATGTTGACTACGATTTCTTCAGAGACTTCTATAAATTAAAATATTTTAAGTATCAGACAAGGTAATACCGTTGGCGAACCTGTTGTCACGGACATAAGAAATCTCAAGTATACAGTAAATGGTGATATATTATACAAACTGCATTACTCTGACAAAGATTTCAAAGAAAACAGAAAGCCCAGAAACTCAAATCCTACTTTCAATGAGTCTCTACCAATGTCATACACAAAGGCTTTCTCTCTGCGAAAGTCCAAATATAATCACTTGCAACAAATAAAATCAGTTATTCCGAAAGACTACCATTCGTTCTATGACCAACGTCCATATACTGATAACTAGACATCTTGGTCAACACTGTGTCAATCACAAGAGGAAGCAGTATTAATATTATCTCTATTCTTGAAAATACGTAGACAGTTAACTGTACAAATGAATGATAACTTTCATTCAATAACACTGACGCTAATGTCCTTATTTTGAGTATGTGAGTTTGATGAAACTAATTGGCCAGCTTAACCATTCATGACGTAACCTGCGTGGCAGTCTCTAAGTAGCGCCAATTCCCGTGCCCATACACTGTTAGAAAATAATTTGATTTGGGTTATTTCTATGTTTTAAATTACTTAATATGTATTATGTCGTAGGTGTACATTGCATGATTGTAATTAAAAATCAAACCGAAACTAAAAGCAAATATATTAGTTTAAGAGATTGAAATGTTTCTCTCACTTTTCTTAACATGATATTACTGTTAAGATATTGTATTTTCATTGTTTAAGTTAAAAATCTTATCCAAGTTTTAAACTAAAAATGTTGTAATAGTTTGTTTTGAATATTGTTAAAGTTTTCATCTTAATGTGTTGATCCTGTTTATCAAACTATAAAGTTTGTAGTTGATTTATATCAGAAGTTGTATTAAATGCTTTCAAAGTTACCTATGAATTTTTTCCTGATTTAATTTGAGAAATTTCCCTTTAAGATAAATGTATGCATACTGGTCATAAATACATAATTTATCCTACACTGAAAATCGCTGATACCTTTACAGAAATTTAGTTCTAGCTTATGACAAGAAATGTTCACAAGAAACTAAATTATAAAAAGACAAAAGAAAAAAATGAATCAATATTATTGTATATTAAGCTCACAATATCTGATTTTTCTCATAAAAGATTGTATGTGGTTAATATTTATAGTTTAGCCTGAAGAAAAATGTTCGTTTACACTAGTTTCAAACAGCAAAATCGTGTAAAAATCATTTACCTAAACCACTTCAATTATAAAATAAAAACCGAAGCTGCAACTCTCTGGCTCAAAAAGCACATCCGGATGCCGAAGCTACATTTACGTATAATAAAATGCCGGACTTGATTTTTTTGCAAAAAGGACATATATTACTTTTACTATGATATCACACATTAAATACAAATTAAATATGATGTAAATTGCAGCAAAAAAGTTTCTTATGCTTTTTGTATTTTTTATGAAAACATATTTTTCTGTTTCCTGAAAACTTTACTTTTTGTAGGTTCGGCATTTTATAGTGAGGCCATCGAATTAATATACTTATTGCATGACATTAACATTATGTCTTATAATCTCTCGGACTTAAAATTAAAGACTCATAACACTTCTATGTTACAGGTCAATATATATCTCATATACACCTCTATGCCAAACACAAACAGTTATAGACAATACCATTAAGATCCTTTAACACATTTTTTCCATAGTTTTATTTCATAGGTATGATGCTCAAATTAAGATTTGTCAATATTGTATGTTCCAATAAGCATTATTTATAGAGATATTACCGAATTTAACATTTCATGTAAATAAAGGGAGGTAATAAGAAATTTATTTTCTATAAATTCTAAGTCAAATTTCCCAATAAGGAATGAATGCATATAATTTATTGATTAAATATAAATATAATGTGCACAACTATTCGCTGTACACATTTTACATATTCTTCGATGTTTGAAATGTGTTTTATTTGCATAATCATATACATATATAAATTTTTGCAAGTGTGGTATACACACAGTAACAATATCAATCACAAAATATACAGGATCTTTAAATAGCTGATATAATAAACGCGACTCAGCAAATATCAAACTTCTGAATACATTTTTTTTTAGATTATTTCATAGCCTTATCAATTTTGCTAACCACTCTACCCTGGGTAAATTTTTGTGTTACTGTGTTTTAGATTAAAACAGATCAAACAAAACTGTATCATTACAAACTTTATATCTGGTTGTTCTAACATCAGGAAGTAACAAGGTACGTTTTCGTGATATATTTTTATAATTCATTTTGAAATATTTGTATTTTTTATATTTTTAAAATTCATTTTGAAATATTTGTATTTTTTAAGGAAATATATAGTTATTTATGTTATTTAACCATTTAGATCTATTACAATGTTCATGAATTAAAAAGTTTTATCAGTAGATCAATTCATTCGACAGCAAATTTCTGACTGAGATTTGGAGCATTGTCATTATCATTATTGTTCATCTCTATCACTGATCGTGACATTGTCATAACTAATATTATCGACATCACCCTCCTCCTCCAAACTGACATCATCATCATTTTCAATATCAGGAGCACGGACGTTACGGCCTCTTCCGCCGCTGACATCATCCAAATCATGACAATGATGCTGATGATGATGATGATCATCATCATCATAACCATCATCATCATCATCATCATCATAATCATCATCGTCGAAATCATCAACATAGTAATCATCACCATCATCATCATCATCATCATCATCATGATCTATATTGTCCTTTTCCACATATTCGTCGTCGTCGTCTTGATGAAACTTTGATGACGAGAATTACCATCATTATCATCATCGTCATCATCAAGTTTGTCCTTTTCCACATGTTCGTTATCGTCGTTCTCGTCCTGATGAAACTAATAGTGATCATCATCATCAGCATCATCAAAGTTTCCAGAACCATTTCAAAAATCATTCGTAATCATCTTAATCAACAGCAGCAGTAGCAATATTTTCATGGGGTTTTATTTTCACTGTTTTCATTACAGGTGGTGAGATATGATGTTTATATACAGGTCTGCTTTCATATTTACAGCATGGACCATAGGTATCTCATTTTAAAATGTTTCTTTAATTAGCAAAACATATCCGTTGTGTGTAATTTTAAATGATTATAATAATTCCTGAAGTATCTGCCTTTTCTTTAGTATAATATTATCTTTATATTATTGAAAATTGCACTATATTAAAAATCTAATTTAAGATGCACATATAGGAAGACTTGGTTATAATATTAGTTATAAAGATCGTTGACAGGTTATATGGCCCTATATAAACGGCTTTTTGTAAATATAACCCGAGCCGTAAGGCGAGGGTAATATTGCAAACAGCCGTTTATATACGGCCATATAACCTGTCAACAATATTTATAACGAATTTATAATACAGCAAGCATCATTTTTATAGAAAAAAAGTAAGATTTCTTCATGAATCGACAGCAGCCGTATATATAAAACTATATAAACGTCACGATTATCCAATGAAAAATGACGTTACAAACGTGCAGTATTATAAACGACCAATGAATCAACTACATATGTATTGTTTAATAGTAGTTCATAAATGTTAATTTTCATGTTCTATCGTTCTCATATATTGTAATATCCGTATAACACTGACTGTGGGAAAATTTGATACAACGACAAGAAAAGATACATGTATGTCTAGTGAAATATGATATCTAAATTTGTGTCACTCTATATACACCTTAGCATGTAAAAATACTTACACTTAAGTGTTTTTCACTTCAAGATGCAATGCTTACAATTTCATAAGCGTCAATTTGGCAGGTAGTTGGTAACGTTGTTGGTAGTACCATGTACATGTACCTACTAGCTGGTAGTTCACAAGTATTAAACAGCTGAATCTATTATCACCAGCAGGAAATTTCGAACATATCATGCATTTCTAAACATGGCAAGGAGGGAACCTAGTTGGTTATATTTTCTTCAATTCTTTAAAAATTAATATAATTTTCAAATTTTTGTCGTCTGTCACAGGTTTTACTCTTGGGTCCAGATGTTATTCTGGATATAGCTGGGGAGCTTGGGGGGCATGTTCACATAGCTGTGGTGGAGGTTTCAAGGTACGCCATTGTTACCAAGATGGCACCTATGAGAATGAAAGATGTGGCACCTTCTGCTTTAATGGCGCCGAGTTTTATGGCGGGAAATGTAACTGCGGTCCCGGAACGGCAGGATATTGCTGCACTGGTAATTATCATAATTCTGGTATCTTCCATCTAAAGGGGGTTAGAAATCAAGGGAAATTGACGGCATTCTTGAGTATGGTTGTTGATTCAGCTCGCTACAAGTTGCTACTTTCTTATCATTAATCTTTTAATGATAACTCATGTATTATGTTATAAATAGTGTGTACAAATCTGGATGAAGGGTGATCTCTCGGAAGCATTAATCACACCAAAATTACATGAAAATTGCAGAGTCGGTTTGATTGAGTATGTACATGTAAGTTTAAAATCATGGGTCAGCTTTTAAAATTGATATACTTGCTAATTATTTTTCAGATGTCGCTGAATGTGCCAGCAACCCATGTAAAAATGGCGGTGTTTGTATAGAAGAAATCAACAAGTACAGGTGTAACTGTCCAGCAGGCACGACAGGACCAAATTGTGACGGTGAGAGTGACTTATTTTTCAAATTTTATCAAAATTATTGAATGTATCAGATAGTAGTAAAAAAAGATGTTTTGATATACATTTCTGATTACTAACTTGAATACCTGTTCGTATACACATACATTTAATATACCATGGTTTCTCCAACTGTGTATACCTATAGGTATTTACCTATTATAACCCCTCACCGCTGTGGGTTCGAATCCCGACAGGGACTTTGGATTCTTTCATGTGAGGAAGCTATCAAGCTAGCTTACGGAACGTCGGTGGTTCTACTCAGGTGCCCGTTCGTGTCTGAAATAATGCACTGAAGGGCACCTGAGGTCTTCCTCCACCAGTAAAGATGGAACGTCGCGATATGACCTATACTGTCTCGATGTGACGTAAAACCCAAAAACAAACAAACAAAACCTATTGTAAATAGTTTATTGTTTTGCAAGTGCAATCTACATAAATTAACAAAAATGTGTCAAAATGTGTAAATATTTTCTTCTGTGTCAAATGCAAATTTACTTCTCAAATTTCAATTTATAGTACCAAAAGCAAGATAAGTGTTTCAGTTGAAAATTTCATTTTTAGATATTTTAGAATGTTCGAGTAACCCGTGCAAGAATGGAGGCACGTGTCACGAGCATATCAATAAATACGTATGTAGTTGTGTACCTGGAACAACCGGGCCAAACTGTGACGGTATTTCAACATATTTTTATAAATCAGTTAAATAATAATAATAATAATAATAATAATAATAATAATAATAATAATAATAATGATAAATGATGATGATGATGATGATGATGATGATGATGATGATGATGATGATGGATTTAAGAACTTTTATTGATAACCGTTCAACTTTGTATGTAATATTTTAAGCTAAAGTGGCATTTTATCGTTTGAAAATTTTCTATTCTGTTTTGTATTGAAAATCAACAATTTCTTCATTGTGTACTATTTGTTTTTAAATTTTAGATATTTTGGAGTGTCAAAGTAATCCTTGTTTAAATAACGGCACATGTTTGGAACACATCGGTGGTTACACGTGCCAGTGTCTTACAGGGACCACGGGCTACAATTGTGTTGGTTTGTGACTTCTACAATTTATTTGGTATTTTTTGTGTTAACAAAGGGAAGCAACTGTGTTTAATTGTTTCTTAAATATAGTCAAGATTACCTCTCTTTATACGAGTGAAATTGCGTATCAACGCATAATTTTCCTTTTTAATAATATTTGTGCACCGCACGTGTACACGTGCTCTCTCACTATGGGAAGCAAAATAATTCATTTTACTAACAATATGTGAAAAAAGAGAGTTTTCTTCTGTCATCCATTAAAAATCGTATTTTGTGATTTTTTTTGCAGATATTCCCGAATGTATCAGTAACCCGTGCCAAAATGGCGGCACGTGTGTAGATCTAATAAACATGTACAAATGTGACTGCCCGCCGGGATTTATTGGTGTCAACTGTGAGAAGAGTAAGTCAGTCATTATTCATTTTTATTATTGTATTGAACATTTTTGTTTGTTAAATATGACAGTACCAGTATATTTCCACTTTGACATTTGTTTACATTACATGTATACGAAAAGAGCCTTATTTGTTTGTTTAAATTTAGTTTTAACGTTACACCAACACAGTATAGGTCAAATGACGACGTTCCGGTTTTACTGGTGCAGGAAGACCTCAGGTGCCCTTCCGGTCATTATTTCAGACACCTGAGTAGAACCACCGACGTTCCGTAAGCTAGCTGGATAGCTTCCTCACATGAAAGAATCCAAAATCCATGTCAGAATTCGAACCCACGGCTGTGAGGGACAAGTGGTTTGAAGTCAACGACCTTAACCAATCGGGCCTCGAAAAAAGCTTCACCTCATTAGAAACGAAAATAGCGGTTTCCACAGATTATCCATTGCATTGTCGTAGGAAAATGCCCTACATTGAGCGAACCGAAAGCAAAACAACAACCTTATATCAAATTGTTTGTCCAAGTAGCGATTGTAGAATGAGTGTCTCGGGAGATTCGTTTCCGTTTTCTCATGGAACTTGTTATTGCGCTTTTTATGATTAACATTAAATTTTAAATTGACTGAGTATATGGCATATAGATTGCAAAGGTTCCAGACGCAACTTCTCGGTCCTTTGTTGTACACTCTAAAATTGAATATCTCGTAATTTTCACTTGCTGCAGATTTACTGGCTCTGCATGATAGTGTATGCCGCACCGGAAGTAGACCGAGCTGTTATATTGTCTTCCGGACGAAGGACTCCTGGCAAGGAGCCGAGGTAAGTATACAGTAAAGAATTTCAAACTACTTGTAGTATTATAGGAAAATAATAACTAATTGTGGTTTATACAAGATTTAATTTTAAGTATAAGCCAGCGTTTAAATTGTTAGACATAATATCCGCACATACCGTTACTTTACGCCACTTTGGCATTTGGGAATTAAAGATTTTTATTTTTAAGCATTTGACTATAAATCTTACTTAAATCAGACTCCGGTTGGTTTTGAGGCTTAATGAGGATCCATTAGGCACTTTCAGGCACTTTGAGTACGGGTGCTTTGAGAACTTTGATTCCGTCCATTTTGCGGTTTTGTTTCAGGAATTTTGTGAAGCAAGAAACGGGCATCTTGTCGTCCCAGAAGATACAGACGAGGCTCTTTATGTTGAAAACTATCTGGAGTCTATGAGAGGTAATAAAATAATGTGTTTGTTTTAGTTTCAAGTGGTTTGGTTACAGTCCTTCCCTAATGTATACATAGACAGACAGTTCTTGTTGAACGGTGTTCGATTCTGCACAAATGTAACATCCCCATTATGTCCATAAATTATTATTACTGATAACGTTCTAAACATAGATTTAAAACCCTAACACAGCAAAATGTGTATAATGGGCCTACTATAGCTTCAGTTTTAGAAGTGGAATTTGTAGGGGTATTATTAACAAACTACACTTTATTCTGGTGATTATTATCAGCCAAACAGAATAATGTGTTTGTAATTCAGTATCCGCACAAGGACTTGCATGACAGCACTACTAGTTTTGAATGTTAAGTCACTTTTGTCACAGAATAATTCAGTTAAAAAGACAATTGATGATTGAAATGACCAACTATCTGCCTGCATAATCTACCAATGCCACCAGTGCAGACCCAATATCACCGGGCACGTGACATGTGCAGACAATCTGGATCATCGTCTTGCAATGTTTTCCTAATTCATTATTAGGTACTTATTTTGCAATTTTTCTTAAAATGATGAATGGTTCTGTCAAGATTGAAAGATAGACAGGTCCATTTAGTATATGTAGTTGATAAAAGTTAATGAATTTCTTGTATTGTTCAGTGAGATACCCAGAAGCTTTGTTTTGGTTGGGAGCCAAGAAGTCGGGGACAAATTCACCTCAATGGGTACACAGTAAACACGTGAACACTTTCAGGTAAACTATTTCATTATCAACCATAAATGAGCTGCGTCACGACAAAACCAACATAATGGGTTTGCGACCAGCATGGATCCAGACCAGCCTGCGCATCCGCGCAGTCTGATCAGGATCCATGCTGTTCGCTTACAAACCCTATTACAAGTAGAGAAACTGATAGCGAACAGCATGGCCCTGATCACAATACTGCGCCAGTGATCAGGCCGCGAACGCGCTCGACGCATATCGTGCACCAGATCCACATAGAACCACCTAGCGAGTACACAAAACACCAAACAACACCACATTTGTTGAAGTTATCCTGTCACTTCTACAAACACACATAAAATCGTTCATCTTAGGAAGAACCCTCAAAGTAAAAGCCATATCTGCGCAGGCACGGAGTACTAGATAATTTTACATCTACTGTGTAGGAATAAAACCATTTAATAATAAACTATGAGAAAAAGACAATTAATCGTACCCTGTCAGAAAACAGTAAAAATATGATGAATATAGCACAACCAAATAATCTATCAAAGTATTGTGATCTAAAGTGTTTGTGGTTGTATCGACCAATTAAATCGTTGTTATATTTATGTAATCTTTAAAATAAAAAGAACGTAGTGGCGAGGAATTTGTACTCGGCAGACCCCCGGTTGTGTTAGAAAACGAGTCAATTAACAGGGAATTTACCGAGACATAAGCGATTGCTAATCGTTTTAGCTATATAATATCGGAGACTTTTACCTCGAGACCCTGAAACTGTGTGTCAGAATTAGTAGTCAGTAGCTAAGAGAATGTTCCTCGGAGAGCCCGGATTGTATTCCGATCTTGAGATTGGGAGTAGCAAGACTCCAGGATCATATCCGAGTTGTAATAGCGGGAAAACATCCCGAAGAACCTGGTATTTGTAATCAGAATACTTAGTTGTAGTGGCGTGAATATTTTCTCGAGACCCACTCGGCATTGTCCTCGAGTCTTAGTTAAGGTTGCGGGGAATCTACCAGAAAACTCGAGATTTGTATAGTCGAAATCACAGTTGCAGTAGCTGGGTATTTTACCTGAAAACCCCGGGATTTGTACCCAGCAAAACAAAGACGTTGTACCAACGTTGTACTGACGTTAGACCCTGACGTTGGGTAAACGTTGGCAGAAAGGTTGGATTTGAAAGTTTTTTAGACGTCAGAAACCGACGTCTATACAACGTCATAAAATGACCTTTATCCAACCTTTTCTGACCATAATCCAACCTTTTGCTGACTATTATCTGACCATAATCCAACCTTTTCTGACCATTATTTGGACATAATCAACCTTTTTCTGACCATAATCTAACCATTTCTGACCATTATCTGACCATATGCCAACCTATATCTGACCAAATTTTCTGACCATGATTTAACCTCATTCAAAACTTTTGGAATATGATTTTTTTCATTTTGAAGCTCTTTAATAGGGTTAATAAATAAACATTCTTATGATTTTAGCATTTATTTTATACTACGGAATCACAAGTACAAAAACAAGAAATGTGGTACTTTAACAAATGCAAGATTTACATAATATTTTTTTGAAACTATTAAATTTCGACAGTATGTACTTTAATAACGCTTCATGTATTAATTAAGCATGTTTTAGAAATAAGATTAAACAAATCCTTCTTGAATATTAACACTGACATTTTATTATAGCAAACATCTATGCATGTGTTTTTTCTTATATCACCACTGAACTGATCACTCTGAGTTTGGGATTTTTCATCACTGATTGTAGTATTTGTCTTTGTATTTTTATAACTGAATCTAGATCTGAATGTTAAATGGAACAATATTCTGAATATTTTGTTATAACTATAAAATAGCAATGTTCATGTATCTTCATTAGTATTCTAGCTTCTTTCGTCCTCCTACATTATGTCGATCTGGGGCATACTATAAGCGTATCATTACCGTCTCCAACCTGAGATTTCATCACACTTTCTGAAATTAAAAAAATAAAATAATCAGTTTACAGTGCAAGAAATAAATCACTTATACATATTATAATTAAACCGAAATTCTAACAAAACTCTCCAACTACTTAAAAAAATACTTATTATTTTTAATTTAGTTTAAAGCCATGTAGTTTCGTGTACCTACTGTATATATCTATTAATTTTGATAAAAATGGCTTCGTGAATTTCATTATAAAATCAAGGGTAATAAGATCACTGTATTTTCTATAAATATTTTGAAATATACCTGTCACAAAATCTTGTAGGTTTTCATTTTTTTTTCCTCTAAATATTTTCATCTTCCTCCTGAACTTTTGACACATGTTGAATTATCATAATTTTCACAATCTGAAAGACGAAATATAATCGTTTTAGAATTTAACCATGTGGTGGAAGGATGTTTGTCTAATACAATAGGCAAAATCCAATTACTATTAATCTTAGTTAACTCATAAGCGCATGAAAAACTGATATAACAAATACCAAAAATGAAATTAATTCTACTCCCGCAAAAATTGATATTGTTATTTTTTATATTCAATGTACTTTGTACAAATGCTCATACAACATCAAAGAAATTCACATGTTACTGTCATTGTTATAGATATTATCTCTGCCCAGCATGCTCTGGTCTGCTAAGTGTATATAGGACAGACTGGGCTTAGTGTAAAAACGTTTTATGATACGAGCATACAACTTGTTGATAAGCAGGCTAATTAACAAACTATTACTTTTATTGATTTATAACTATGATAATGTGTTTTCTGATTGATAATATGTTGTTTGATTACATTAATAAAAAGATAGCTAGTCAAATACAATGTGCTTTCAGATATATCTTACCAACGTCGTATCATTTACATGTATCAAATGCCATGAATCATTATCATAATATAAGAAACACATGGTATGCTAACAGTATGGGTAAAGTACTTTCAATTAACAACGAGTAGTTTACACAACTACAACACCGATATCAAAAATCAAACTGCATCTGATACATGTGTAAATGAACTGGCCCCTCATATAAGGGAAATTCATGTTGATAAGAAATAAGAGGAAATTTTATTTACCAGCATTTGAATTAATAAGAGTCTTACGTACTGCATTTAACTTTTTTATTGATTTCAATTGCTAGGATATTTCCTACCATTGATTGTGCATTTATTTGGCATGGCGATATAGTGTGGGAAAAAATGATCCGATTATACAGACTGTTCTATAGCAAATGAATAAAGTGTTCTTACGTGGAAACAAAAATATTTATCTCGCGAAATCACGGTTACATTAAGTTTTACCAGTCAAAAATTTCATGATCAAACCTAACCATCGAATCCATGCAAACATGCGGTAAATTAGCATTGAAAAACAATATATAAATGTATTGTCGAGCCGGTTTTCTTTTGTTTGAAGATATTACTTTGGTACTGTCAACCCTCGATTTTCTTGTTCGTCTTCATGACACATGAAGTACTATTTAGAATGCGATAACGTCGCAAATTACTATTTACTATATTATTAGCACTTGTAACATGAGCCGCTCAAGTAACATTATGAGGTAAGGCTACATGTTCATTGTAACATATATATAGACACATATCCATTAGAATCAGAGGGATAGATATAATATTGATCAGAAAAAATATACGGACAGATATACTTTCTTACTGCTCTGGACTAGTACTAGTACCGTTTATACGGAAGCGCTCATCCATAATACCGTCTATCGTTGATGATTAGGCCAACCACGTGTCATTACTGTTGTTTGATGGTAAGAAATCTATTTCCATATCTTTTTGCCGCGTTCTATAATGTAGAACTTAAAATATTAACTTCACGCTAGTTATATGCTTCATTTTATATAATAGGTGAGATGTTCGTAAATTAAGAGTGGTCAACTTTTTGTCAGCCAATTAAGACTGGATCTTACAGACGCAACAATCCGAGTCTAGATAGTACTGTGTTCTCAACATTTATTATACCGCTCCTGTTTTAGACGTCGGGATCTCAACGTCTGATTTAGGTACGTCTGTTATGCGTCAATCCGAGGCGTCCGCCAAATCAACAGTTGATCCAACGTTGGAGTTCAACGTCGCATTCATTTTAGGGGTGTTTGCTGAATTTGTTAAGTAAATAATTATATTAATTAGTGAATAATAATGTAAATAGCGAGACTATCTTTGACTCCATCCAGAGCTACGACATGAGGGCCACTGATCTCCGGAGTGTTACGTTTATCTCAGATGAACTCGGTACATGACTTCGTTGCACCATTGGCGCACGGCCATGGACTGGCATCTTCAAGTGGATGGCAGGGTATATCATATCTCTCGTGTCTAGTGATGCCTACATTACTTCTTATGTTAACTCTAAGTATCTCGTACTTGATATTATTAGTCTAATAATCCAAAGAAGTGAATTCAAAATAAAAATATCTGAACTTTGCTAGCACTACGTAATTTGTAGCTTTATTTGAGTGGAATTCAGTAACATAGATTATGATAGTTATTGTTAATGTGTACTTCAAGACTGTCTCCAGGGAATTATGGTATACGATTATCCATCATGCATAATGTAGTTTATGGAGAGCCTTTTAGAGGCGACATACAATTTCCTATCACGTCAGCTCTCTATTCAGATGTCATGGAGATAATGCTTAACAATAGACGGGGTGATATGCGACCGCTCTCGCTGGACGAAGAATGCGTTGAATTTGCTCTAGTCTTGACGGCCTCTCGCGCGCGCGCAGTGGACTGCAGATAGTTGTATCATTACATATAGCTTTACTGCATGGAGCGCTCATATCTTATATGGACAGTGCTAGATGTACTTCATCCCTGCATATTATAGCGTTATCTATTCTCCGAACCCATAAAGAAGGAGTGGAATATGCATGTATTGTTGGTCGACAGTTCTTCCCATTGCTCTATATGTTACAATCTTTAGTTAGCATCACCGAGCGAGACCCTACTGGTCATTTCGACGAACTTGATCGCAGATCCGTTGACCTTAACTTTAAGTCAAGAATTCTTTAGAACGTAGTGTTCGATCCTCGATTAATCCTCCCATCCAAAACATAATATTCCTATCCGCCGCAAACTGAAGCAACATACTAACAATTTAGTATTGATACAACTCTTAGGCTTTGATCAGTAAATATTTATCTTTAGCCTGATAGTAACAAAGATTTTACCCATGCAACCAGTGCAGACAAAGTGACCCAAGATAAAGCACGAGACGTGCCCTCATGTCAAGTCTGATACAGTTCGCTATTCAATCAGTATATATTTCAAAATTACCCCTAAAATGACGAATGGTTTTGTCCTCATTGATAGATAGACAAGTCCATTAAAGATATTTAGGGATTAAACAAGTAAAACATAGCAGTCTATGGTTAAACCATCCTCCTTCCTTAATAATTTATTATTTATTCTACAAAAAGACCATGAATATAATATGGACTTTTACACGTGTATTAATATAGTCCAAAATTCTCAATAGTCAAAGGAAAGCTTTCTATTTCACAACTTTCTATTCAACTTTGTATTAAGAGCTAGCTCCAAGTTATTTCACTTTTTATCTAATAATATAGTTATGTAACCATGGTGATTTAGTCATATTATACAAGTATCTCTATTACATTTTCAGGGTACCATTCCGTTTAAACTACACTGTTCCAATTCTTGGTTAGGAGGTATATGAATATAAAGACATCAAAAACAAAACAGACACTATGATTTAACAAATGATTTATATAGAGATTTTATTCACATCAGAAATGTCAGAGTAGTTCAATAGAGTATTTCACAAAAGAGAAAATATTTATTTCAGAAATGTGATGAAATAGTGTTTATACACAATAAAGAAAATAGTATAAAAATCTTTTCTAGAAAATAATCAGTAACAATATATACAAATATGACTTATATATAAACTCGAAAACAAAATAACAACAGTATGCGACTAAATGAACAAAAAATGTGGCAACAAGGACATCAACAACAACAGCAACAATAATATACATTGTGTAATTTGGATTTCTTATCATAATCAGAAGTGAAGCTTGTATACATATAATTAGTTATAATAAGATAAATATATGTTCTTTTTTATTAACTTTAAATAATAATAACAATTCGTCACTTGCAAGGATATGATAAAAATGTACAATTCAAAGGCGAGAAAATATAAGCTACTGAAATAAAGTCTGTCGAAATGGGCAGGTCTTATATTTGATATCAGGTTACTAACGAATAATTATCAGGCAAGTGTTATCAGGCGGCCGGCAGTTGCCATAGCAGTTGCATTATAAATATCCACAGGTTGTCATGATTCGTTACCCATAGCATTTTCACAGTGCTATTTTTATACATTATATTTTTTAAAAGTTCAAGCATTCTATGTTGAAGAAATCTGGCAGATACATAAAAAAATTACTTTGTTGTTTAGAGATATCCCATTTTATTATATACTTATAAATGAAATATTGACAAATTTTGATGAAATAAAATGCTTATTTTCATTTTTCGTATTTTCACTGTAAAAATTTATTTTTCATTGCAATGAAATATATTTTCCGTAATTTCACTGGTGTCTTGCCGGACTACTTTCTTTTAAATTCTGCCATTATACAAAAATAAGGGAAAGTCTTTTAAATTGTAATGTCAAAAAGAGACATGTGCATATGTATATAATAAACAGAAAATTGAAGTTTTTTCTATAAATACAAGATTTATTTTCATCTTGTGGCATGAAAATTATCATATTTCATTCGTTGCTACCGCCACTCATGAAATATTTATTTACATACCACTCGATGAAAATAAATCATGTATTTATAGAAAAAACTTGAATATCCCATTGTTTTCTTTCTTAAGTATCATTTCATGACAAGACTTCATGACATAAAAAGAAGTGGTGTTGACTCTGGGACAGGGACAAGTTCACATAAATCTCCCTATCTGATAACTGGGATGTATAAAAAATATTTCTACAGACAAGAAGGAACATTATACAAATCACAATAGAATACACATTACATAACAACAAGACAAGTTGAACATTTTATTTTGAGATCTGCAGTACCTATGGGGCTTCTTAACATAAAAAGTCTCACAATTTTCTGCATATTGTCATTGATTAAGAACAATTGAAATTTTCACTTTATTTTAAAGGGACTACACTGTGGTTTTTGATGTGATTTGACTAGAAATAATTTTTCAAGATTAATGTTTGATTTGATGAAGATCTAGACTAATAATTTGTTTTCCAACTAATCTATGTAAGAAAATTCAAATGTAATGTTTTATGCTTTTGAACTTCAGTGAAGTTCCACTAACATGACAAAAATGGCATAATACACGATTAACATGACAAAAATGGCATAATACCATTTCGTACAGTTACACTAGAATGTAACACACATAGATCAGTCTAATCACTTAGATCACAATTTACTCATTATCTGATAAAAAAGTCCTAGTATATATACATGTACATATAATCTCCATAAAAATATTCAAGTCAATCATTTGCAAATTTCAAGCCCCGTCTGTTATATGTAAAAGCAAGGTCAAAATATTTCATTTGCAAAATCCAGTGCCAGTCATTATTTGTACAAACTAGGTCCTAGTCTATCATTTGCAAAACAAGGCCCAACTGAAACTGCAAAAAACTAGGTCCCAGTCTATCATTCGCAAAATCTAGTTCCAGTCTAATGTTTGCAAAAATTAGGTTCCATTCCAGTTCCAGTCTAATATTTGCAAAAACTAGGTTCCAGTCTAGCATTATCAAAATACTAGGTCCCAGTCCAATCATTTAACAAGTGAGAATGAGTCATCATCTAGTGTGTCGAGATCAGATTGTGAGGCTGTATCATCAAATCCTCCTGTCATATTGAAAGGTGACATCTGTGATGGTGTGTTACTGTTTCCTGTGTTACTGAGAAATTCCAGATCCTTATCAGTGGCAGATGCCTAATATATTAGAAAATAAAATAATATTATAACAAACATAAAATCAATAAGGTTTAAACAATACCAGTAATATTTGAGCCGCATCATGACAAAACCAACATAATGGGTTTGCGAACAGCATGGATCCAGACCAGCCTGCGCATCTGCGCAGTCTGATCAGGATCCATGCTGTTCGCTTACAAACCCTATAACAAGTAGAGGAACATATAGCAAACAGCATGGATCCTGGTCTGGATCCATGCTGGTCGCAAACCCATTATGTTGGTTTTGTCATCACATGGCTCATTTACAATAAAAGCTCTTCAGAGAATTATACTTTGAGAAACAAGTTGTTGTTTCTAAGAGTGGTTGCTCTTGACAAGTTAAATTTATTGTGAAGTTTTACCTTGGGAAGAATTGATACAGTTGTTGTAAGAGGTTGTTGTTATACAGAGGGCCTCTCAGCATTGATTGTGCTATACTTGTTAAGATCCACAAACTTCATGTGTTCAACAAGAAAGTCTTTTATTACCAAAGAAATCAAGAAACAGATACAAAAGTATCACAATGGAAATCACAGAATTTATGTTTATTAACCCTTAAAAGGTACTTTATGCCACAGAAATAGTTCTTATTTTGTTTCTCAAAAGCTTCATCAATAATTCGGAATTCAGAATAATATTTGTAGTACATTTGTATTATGAAAATAAATAATGAAAACTAACTGTGGTTTTTTAAAGTAAGCCAGCGTTTGAATTGTTAAAAAAATATATGCACAGTGCATACACTTTACATCACAATGCCATTTGAGAAGTAAAGATTTTTTTAAAACTGTTTAACTCAGACTCCGGTTGGTTTTTGAGGCTTTCACATTTTCTGGGTGCTTTGAGTACTTTGATTCCGTCTATTTTTCAGGAATTTTGTGAAGCAAGAAACGGACATCTTGTCGTTCCAGAAGATACAGACGAGGCTCTTTATGTTGAAAACTATCTCGAATCTATGAGAGGTAACAGAAATAATGTCCTTGTTTGGGTAACAGTTGTTCACTAATGTATAAGGCAGACAGTTTTTGTTAAACGGTGTTCGATTCTACAAAAATGTTACATCCCCACTATTTCTATGCCAACTGGAAATCATTGTAAAAATAAATTGCTTGGATCAAAGGTGGAGGAAAAAGGACAAATATATACTTCACCTGAAGCCTCATTAGGAAATGAATGTCATGTTTCACCTGGGATTTTGACTGACGAACAGATCGACGGGCTGTTTGTTTTCCAACAATATGTAGCGTCTGTTAATAGAACTGAAAAGATTTGTAATCAATGCTAGTACTTGCTCTGTAGCTGGATTTCTAGAATCCTTATGGTTAAAATTATTATGACTGATAATGTTTTAAACATGGGTTTAAAACATTAACGCTGCTAAAATATACAATGGGCTCACCATAGTTTCAGTTTTACAGGGTTTCATTCACAAACTACAGTTTAATATTTGCGATTAATCTTAACAATTGGCAAATTATTATCAGCCAAGCAGAGCTATGTGTCAGTACAAGGACTTGCACATTGACTGCAATACCAGTTATGCATGTCTGTTCATTATTGTCATAAAAGAATTCAGTTAAATAGAAATGATCAACCCTTACCTTGCAGGCAATCTACCAATGTGACCGATGCCGGCACATTCACCTGATCATCGTCTGCACTGTTCGTTATTCAGTTAGTACTTATTTTAAAAATTTCCCTAAAAATAATGACTAGCTGGTTAAGATAGACAGGTCCATTTAATATAAGTAGTTCGATAAAAGTTAATGAGTTTCTTGTATTGTTCAGTGAGATATCCAGAAGCTTTGTTTTGGTTGGGAGCCAAGAAGTCGGGGACAAATTCACCTCAGTGGGTACACAGTAAACACGTGAACACTTTCAGGTAAACTATTTATATCAACCATAAATGAGCCGCGTCACGACAAAACCAACATAATGGGTTTGCGATCTAAATGTTGTTGTTTCGACCAATTAAAATTGTGTAATATTTTTATCTTAAATAAAGACTTTAAAGATTTTACCTCGAGATCCTGAAATGTGTTGTTAGAATATTAGTTGTAGTAGCGGAGAATGATCCTCGAGAGCCCGGAATTTGTATTCCGAATCTTTGGTTGGGAGTAGCGAGACTCCAGGAATCATATCCGAGTTGTAATAGCGGGAAAACATCCCGGAGAACCTGGGATTTGTAATCAGAATCTTAGTTGTAGTGGCGTGAATATTTTCCTCGAGACCCTCGGCATTGTCCTCGAGTCTTAGTTAAGGTTGCGGGGAATCTACCCAGAAAACTCGAGATTTGTATAGTCGAAATCACAGTTGCAGTAGCTGGGTATTTACCTGAAAACCCCGGGATTTGTAATAATATTATAATAATAATAATGTAAAGTTATCTTACAAATCCAGGTGGCCATATGGTGTATCGGATGATTTACCAGGAACACAATGTCTGGCAATGGACGGCAGATACAACTTCAAGTGGCAGGGATTCTCTTGTGACAGACCGACATACTTCTTATGTGAAGAAAAGTATCTTATTATTATTAAATAATCAAAGGAATTCAAAATAAAAATCTAATTTTCTAGCTAAGTTTTTTGCTTTAGTTAGGTTGGGAAGTAACATAGATTCTGTTAGTTATTTTATGCAATACAGATCAAACTGTTAAGGCAGGAATTAAGTTATACAAATACTGCTAATGTAGTTTTTGAACTTTGAGGCGACAGACAATTTCTTAGGAACAGGCCATCTTCAGGTATGGGTAATGAAACAATATACGGGGTTAGGCCGCGGAAAGAATGTGAATTTGTAGTAGTCTGCCTGGGCAGGGATTAACCAATAGTTTAACATATAGGCATGCTGGGAGGCTCTTCTTTATGGGGTGAGATAACCTTATATGGGGATGGAATATGCATGTATTGTTGGTGAGTTTGTACATCACCGAGAGCCTATGGTCATTTCGACGAAGATCGAATCCGTGCTATTAAAGTGGATTTAAGAAGTGTGGATATATTAATCCTCCATCCAAAAACATTTTTATGGAAATTGGAAGCAACAAAACAATTTAGTTTGATATAACTCTTGGCTTGTCAGTAATATGTATCTTTAGCCCGATAGTAACAAAAGATTTTACCCATGCAACCAGTGCAGACAAAGTGACCAAGATAAAGCACGGACGTGCCGTCAGGTCAAGTCTGTACAGTTCGCTATTCAATCAGTATATATTTCAAAATTACCCCTAAAATGACGAATGGTTTTGTCCTCATTGATAGACAGACAAGTCCATTAAAGATATTTAGGGATTAAACAAGTAAAACATAGCAGTCTCTCCTTCCTTAATAATTTATCATTTATTCTACAAAAAAGACCATGAATATAATATGGAATTTTACACGTGTATTAATATAGTCCAAAATTCTCAATATTCAAAGGAAAACTTTCTATTTCACAACTTTCTATCCAACTTTGTATTAAAGAGCTAGCTCCAAGTTATTTCACTTTTTATCTAATAATATAGTTATGTAACCATGGTGATTTAGTCATATTATACAAGTATCTCTATTACATTTTCAGGGTACCATTCCGTTTAAACTACACTGTTCCAATTCTTGGTTAGGAGGTATATGAAAATAAAGACATCAAAAACAAAACAGACAATATAATTTAACAAATGGTTTATATAGAGATTTTATTCACATCAGAAATGTCAGAGTAGTTCAATAGAGTAGAGTATTTCACATTAAAGAAAATATTTATTTCAGAGATGTAATGAAATAGTGTCTATACATAATAAAGAAAATAGTATAAAAATCTTTTCTAGAAAATAATCAGTAACAATATATACAAATATGACTTTAATATAAACTCAGAAACAATAATAACAACAGTATGCGACTTAATGAACAAAAAATGTGGCAACAAGGACATCAACAACAACAACAGCAACAATAATATACATTGTGTAATTTGGATTTCTTATCATAATCAGAAGTAAAGCTTCTATACATATAATTAGTTATAATAAAATAATTATATGTTCTTTTTATTAACTTTAAATAATAATAACAATTCGTCACTTGCAAGGATATGATAAAAAATGTACAATTCAAAGGCGAGAAAATATAAGCTACTGAAATAAAGTCTGTCGAAATTGGCAGGTCTTATTTTTGATATCAGGTTACTAGCTAATAATTATCAGGCAAGTGTTATCAGGCAGTTGCCATAGCAGTTGCATTATACATATCCACGGGTTGTCATGATTCGTTACCCTTAGCATTTTCACAGTGCTAGTCCGATACACCTTACATTTTAATAATTCAAGCTTTCTATGTTGAAGAAATTTGGCAGATACATTAAATTTACTTTAATGTTTAGAGATATCCCATTGTTTTCTTTCTTAAGTATTATTTCACGACAGACTTCATGACATAAAAAGAAGTGGTGTGGACTCTGGGACAGGGACAAGTTTACATAAATTTCCCTATCTGATAATTGGGATGTATAAAAAATATTTCTACAGACAAGAAGAAACATTATACAAATCACAATAGAATACACATTATATAACAATAATACAAGTTGAACATTTTATTTTGAATCTGCAGTACCTATGGGGCTTCTTAACATAAAAAGTCTCATAATTTTCTGCATATTGTCATTGATTAAGAATAATTGAAATTCTTACTTTATTTTAAAGGGACTCCACTGTGTTTTTTTATGTGATTTGACTAGAAATAATTTTTAAAGATTATATAATGTTTGATTTGATGAAGATCTAGACTAATAACTTGTGTTCCAGCTGATCTATGTAAGAAAATTCGAATGTTATGTTTTATGCTTTTGAGCTTCAGTGGAGTTCCATTAACATGACAAAAATGGCATAATATCCCATTAACATGACAAAAATGGCATAATACCCCATTAACATGACAAAAATGGCATAATACCCCATTAACATGACAAAAATGGCATAATACCCCATTAACATGACAAAACGGCTTAATACCATTTCGTACAGTTACACTAGACTGCAACACACATAGATCAGCCTAATCACTTAGATCACAATTTACTCGCTATCTGATTAAAATTTCCTAGTATATATACATATAATCTGCATAAAAATATTCAAGTCAATCATTAGCAAAATTCAAGCCCCGTCTGTTATTTGTAAAAGCAAGGTCCAAATATTTCATTTGCAAAATCTAGTTCCAGTCAATTATTTCTATAAACTAGGTCCCAGTCTATAATTTGAAAAACAAGGCCCAAGTGAAATATTTGCAAAAAAACTAGGTCTCAGTCTACCATTCACAAAATGTTCCAGTCTAATGTTTGCAAAAACAAGGTTCCAGTCTATCACTATAAAAAAACTAGGTTCCAGTCTAGCATTATCAAAATACTAGGTTCCAGTCTAGCATTATCAAAATACTAGGTCCCAGTCTAATCATTTAACAAGTGAGAATGAGTCATCATCTAGTGTGTCGAGATCAGATTGTGAGGCAGTATCGTCAAATCCTCCTGTCATGTTGAAAGGTGACATCTGTGATGGTGTATTACTGTTTCCTGTGTTACTGAGAAATTCCAGATCTTCATCAGTGGCAGAAGCCTTGTTAATTAGAAATTAAAATAATCTTATAACAAACAAAAAATCAATAAGGTTTTAACAATACCAGTAGTATTTGAGCCACGTCATGACAAAACCAACATAATGGGTTTGCGACCAGCATGGATCCAGACCAGCCTGCGCATACGCGCAGTCTGATCAGGATCCATGCTGTTCGCTTACAAACCCTGTAACAAGTAGAGAAACTGATAGCGAACAGCATGGATCCTGATCAGACTGCGCGGATGCGCAGGCTGGTCTGGATCCATGCTGGTCGCAAACCCATTATGTTGGTTTTGTCATGACAAAGCTCATTTACAATAAAAGCTCTTCAGAGAATTACACTTTGCAAAACAATTTGTTGTTCCTGGGAGAAGTCGCTTTTGACAGGTTAAATTTATTGTGAAGTTTTACCTCGGGAAAAATTGATACAGTTGTTGTAAGGAGGTTGTTGTTATACAGAGGGCCTCTCAGCATTGATTGTGCTATACTTGTTGATATCCACAAACTTCATGTGTTCAACAAAAAAAGACCTTTTATCATCACAATGGAAAGATGATTGGAATCAACAGCTTTGATGTTTATTAACCCTTAAAGGCTCAGTATGCCACAAAAATGTTACTAATTTTGTTTCTAAAAAGCTTTTTACTTTCCATATTATATGTTTTAGTTTCCAAATTTTTTTCATCGGCCAATTTTTTCTTATGTAGATTTTTGGCAAGTGATTTAGTATTTTGTATGGAAGTCAAAATACTACTATGTTTACACTTTTGCTACTTTTCTGACAAATTATTTCAAATTCTAAGCTACTATCTTAGAGTGGTAAGCTTCTTACATGCTCTAAAACCATGAATAAAACCATTATAAAACGCATGTTTTGAAAGGAGAAAAAATATTCTTTCTGACGCATAATGTGACTTTAACCTGCTTACCTGATGTTACAGACTTTTCTTGCTTAAAATAAGGCACACTCCAGCACAACTTAGTTTGAGTGGTCATTTGATTACTTGAATATATTATAACAACTGACCATATAACTGAGATAAATGTATAAAGAAATTACCTCCATGAAACTAGAGCTTTGTTTGGGGCTACTGAAGCTTGAAAAAGGTAAATCTTTAATCTCTTTAGGAGTTTCCTCATCATTCACCTACAATAAATCACAGAAATATCATCACTTTAAAATACATATATAGTTATAAATGAAAAAGAAACTTTTTTCCAGTTAAACACATGATTTATACCATAGGAACCACTTTCAAATCTAATTCTAGACATGACTTGTACAATAAAGAAACACTTTTCAATTCATACCATGATTTATACCATAACGAACGTTTTTTCAATCTAATTCAAGACCTTTCCAATTTAATTTTTGACTTATACCATTAAGAGACACTTTTGGTTTAATTAATGACTTACACCATTTTTCATGTTTTGTACTTGTAATAACAGAAAGATTTTGTGGTTAAATTTTCATTGAAATCGTGTTATGAACTTGTAAGTTGACAGCTTGAACAAAATTATTCTGCTCAAAATAAATTATCAGTTTTTCAATTTCTACAAGACAAAATAGGAAACAGAAAGACAAGGATTTCAATGTTACAAAAGTGTTTCATCCAAAACTTTGACAGCATAAACAGATCAGTTTAATATAAAAATATATATTTTGCAATCATAACTTGGATACACAAGTATAAATTAAATTTCTTTCACTATTTAGTTTTTTAGTTACTGTAATATTGTTCATAAACATGAAAATTAATAGGTCAAAATTCAATATACCCACTTCTACAGGCACAAAGCTAGCCTCATTAGGTGTGGCTGAACGACTTCTATATTTAGCCTGTTTTGGTAAATCTGTTCTCATGGCAACCATTTGTATTCTCATTTTCTCAATCATCCACATGGGTACAGTAAACCCTGACAGTTGCTCCACAGTAATACCTGTTGCATCCCTTAAAATAAAGAAACAAAACAGAATGTACACTTAGTTCTGTGATGTAAAAATGAAATAAATAGGATTTTCCTAACATCTTTGATTTTAGTGTTGTTCGTGTTTGCAAGACTATCTGTGTAAGATATGCAAAACAACGTCAACAAAATTCCTGGTTTGGAAATTTGTTGTTCATTTTCAGATTTATCTCTATAATGTAATCAGTATAACCAAACCAAATGCAATAAATACAGGTCTGAGCATGTTGACCATCTTTTGCTTTTATTAAACATGGGTTTATTTGGTCAAACCCCAACCCCGCCAAGAATGTGCAAGCTTTTGTTTGTTTGTTTGATTGGGTTTTACATCACACAGACACAGAATAGGTCATATGACAACGTTCCAGCTTTACTGGTGGAGAAAGACCTCAGATGCCCTTCCGTGCATTTTTTCAGGCACGGACAGGCACTTGAGTAGAACCAACATTCCATTAACTAGCTTTCACATGAAAGAATCCAAATTACCTGTAGGGATTAGAATCCACAGCAGTGAGGGGCAAAATGTGCAAGCCTACCAGGGTCTTTACTGGTGACATGAAAGCATCATTATCATCATTTAAATGTAACATTTATAAATCATTCCAAAAACATCAAGAATCTAACCTGTATTCATCGTTCAAAGCGAGCTCTCTGACATCATCCAGTACAATGAGATAAGATTTACCACCGGTTGCTGGCATGTGCTGATGTTCATACAGCCAAGTTTTATCATCCTGGTCCCCACCATACTGTAACACACAAACATAATTATGTACCGGTAATGATGTAAAAATACTTCAAAAACATGAAAATTTCAATTAGTAATATACACCTTCTTTCACATTTTTTCAAATCTTCATACAAAAAAATAGTTGACACTATCTACTAATATTTAGCTTTTTTTAAAGTAAAGATTATAAAGAGACTGTCATTTTATAACATGGGAGATTCCAGCTTTACTGATGAAGGAAAATGTCAAATAACTTCATGCATTTATATCAGAATTGAACACCTCAAAAGGACCACTGACCTTCTGTTAACAAGCCGGACAGCTTACAGATCATAGGAACTCGAAAACGGGACCGCAGATTGCGGCGCATATTTTCGATCGTGTAACGGTTTTTAAAAACGTTTCTGCTACATCTAAATATCTTTTAGTATAATCCGATTATATGGCCTCTAAAAATATATTATCAATTGAACCCAATCTGTCTCTTATAAAACTGGTCAAGTTTTACGGTATTATAAAAAAAGACAAGGAGTGACATCCCCCATTTGCCGCAACGTTTTCGGCATGAGTTTTTCCCCTTTGGCTACAATTGATTACTATTTTTCAGAATTTTGTTCCCGTTATTTTTGTCAACTATCAGGTATCGTCCGGATATAACGTTAACGGTTTATTGTTTACACGTGTTGACATGTATAGGCGGCATTATAACTGGCAAATTCGTGTATTGATTTGTTAAAATGGAGAAAACAGACACTTTAGTAATATGGTCCAACTGATTTTGCCTTACTGAAAAAAGGAATATTAAAACATGATCCATAGATAAATATTTTAGGCACTCATCTGGTATTCATTACTAGAAAAATTAAAACAAAAATCAAGCATATCAAGGGGGATAACTTACGCCGAACGTTGCGGCAAATGGAGGATGTCACTCCTTTTCTTTTTTCAATATACCGTAAATTTGACTGATTTTTAAATTAGCAGATTATATTAAATTGAGATTAGATAATTAAAGACCACCCGCTCGCATAATATGAAAAAATATTCAAAGGTCGGACAAACAATATGTAAAGCTGGTACGGATTCGGATTTATGCGCCGCAATATGCGGTCCTGTTCCAGAGTTCCTATGTTACAGATATGAAAGAATTTCTTAAAACATATTTAATCTTTGTTATAAATCAAGTTCTTGCAACTTGTATCAATCACTTTCTGAGTAGTTTCTTGGAACCAAGAAGCACTGGTGCCATATGAGGAAACACGGTCATGACCCATGTATGGTTTGAACCAACAACCCCTGGGTTGAGAGGTAAACTACTAGACCATCACAGCTCAATTTCATAATGGAAGTATTCAATGTCACTGACAAGATTCAAACCCTCAAAGGTGAAGGGCAAGTTACACAAATTACCTTGAAGAGCTCTGGATGTTTCATATATAGTCTTCCCCTAGTGGCACCAAATCCCATTGCCCTGAAAATAGTTTAACTTACATACTTTACTTGCAAATATACATCATAGAATAACTGTATTTCAAAATAACTAAAACATTTGAGTCTGAGTTGTGACGTTTTTGAATTTTAGATTACATGTTTTTCTTATCAAATTTTTTAGTTGGGTCACAACAACACACAAGTGGGGGAAGGCCTCTGGTGCCATCCTTGCATTATTTACTGTATCTAATTTTGTGACGAAATTCATACATATTTGGCAATTATGACATTTTTTTGAAGAGTTTAAAAATTGCTGAACATTTTACTATTAAGTCACAACATTAATACTCACTTGTTAGCTTTTGAGCCCATGACAAACATTGTTTCCTCTGTCAGCCTTTCTGGTTCAAACTGAATAAAAATTATGTTAAAATTTGTTTACAAATTAAAGTTAATTTAGTATTTTGTTAAATATTATATATACAATATAGTACCTTAACTTATTCAAAGATGTCAGAAAAATATAAACATTGGCTGCAAGTCTTTTTGTTTTACTGCAAAATTTAAGCTTAATATTATTTATGTTGGTAACACATTTCCTATAAAGTAGAACTGTATTTTTAATATTTTTGCAAGAAAGCAATGAAAATCATACCAGCATATATCAACATATTGAGATATGTCTAGATCTAAAATAATGGCACATGTAAGTCAGTATAACTGCTAGATCTGCTAAATAAAAATAACATATTATCTTAGAGTTTACAATATTTTCTTTTTTCCTGTTTCAATATTTTATCCTTTTTGACATATGTTACCTTAGGTCCTTCCCTCTTGGATTGTTGAAGTGCTAGTTTTGAGGGTGTTGATCTCCTGAAGATGAGAGAAACAAATAATATTAAATTAGTGTTGATTTGAGACATACCTTTCAAACTGTCACATTATAATTTATAAATTTAACATTGAAAAAAGATTTGTTTGATTTAAATAACAAAGCAACCTATTTAATTTTCTATTTTGATATTTTCATTAAAATAACCTCATTGTTTAATCTATATAAACCAGCAAAAAGTTCATTTGCTATACTTTATATACATTTTTTAAAATAATAAAATAATAAAGGTGAGGAACACACTTACAACACCAGGTCAAGTTTCAAGATTTTATTGGCTACTAGTTTCAAGTAATCATATTTATACATTTGTATAAACAACAAGTTACTTTCTTTTTTTTTCACATGACCAAACCCAATTGATTACATGTATTTGCTTTTTACAATATCTAGGTCTATTTTGCTCTATTTACCTAACATTTGGTGAGTGTAAAATAAAGCCTACACATAATTTTTGTATTTCATAATATTTTAAAGCAATTTCTCAGTGACATTGTAGACTGTGATCAAATTTTAAAACATTCCTTAATGTCAAAAAAAGTTATGATATTAATGATAAAAAAGAAAATTTAACACTTACCCTGTAAGATTCACAATATACCTTCCTTTTTTCTGAAATAAAAAATTAAGAATATACAACTTATTTGAAAAAGATACTATCTATGAACTTACATGTTCACTAATATAAAGACCAATTAAAGAAACAGTTTCAGGTCTGTTTGAAAGTGAACCAAGACAGTTTTGTTTATGCTTCATTTGCAGAGTCTTATTTAATTCAAAAAAAAATTCTTCCTTTTAATAATACATTATGAAACAGCAATATTATTTATATATGACTGTACACTATTGAAATGTGTCTGAAGTTTTCATTTTATATATTTTGCCTATACATTTATTGCCAAAAAAAAAGCACTTTGTCAACAGTCCTCAGGGTAGCAAATTCAAGCCCTGGACCGAGGCATGACATAAGTTTTAACATGAAAATAAGGTCTCCTGCCTTTAACCCTAAATTATAGATTCACTGGAGTATTATGTGAGAAGTTGGCAGTTACTTTTGGAAACACCATGTTAGTACCGGTACACTCATTAGGTAATTCTAACTGAAAAACTTTCAAACCTGGCAAATAAAACCACTTCGCTCACATCTAAACAAACAAAACACACAAACCTTTTTAGTGTTTCCAGTTGGTCTGAGGCTGGCCTCCGAGTCTGTGTCTGACGGATGTCTTCTTCTACCTAACGCTGACTGATGAACAGTGAAAAATAAATTCAGTGGTTTACAAACATATAACATATATTTAACCCTTAAATTATCCTGCTGAATTTATATTTGTAAGATGAACTGGCCCTCTTTTGAATTAAGAAAGCAGTATTTAGAAGATTCTAGATCATACTTATAAATTGAGTAAGAATGTGTTTAGAGCCTATTAGTTTTCAATTTTCATTCTTTAAATTCTAATCGCTTGCACAAACAAATTTATCAAGCTAGTACCATGTTCAATCTCAAGTCCTGTTTTGTATCTGAACTGCCAACTGTTTAAATATGAGGGATTTACTTAGTTATTATGTTTCTATGAAAATTGTTGTATGTAAATTATGAATTTTGAACAGGAGGCCTTAGAACACAAATAAAGTTATCTAAGAATTGAAAAATTTTGAATTGAATGAGCATAAAATATGGTAAGACAGCACAGATCCCTAGGCCGGACTAGTTCATGTTTTGTTGAAAAGAAAAGAGTAATTATTACTGCTATTACTACAAGGGTTCAAACATATATCAAACTTACCCTCCTGCCACTACTACCAGCCTCGGATACATTGTCTGACAGCTCTCTAGCAGGGGAGACACTCTGACGTCCTGTATCACTGAGGTACATCTTCTTTGCCTGAAAACGAAAAAAAAAAATTCCTTTATACTATATATATATTTTTTTTTTTTACCTTTTTTCATTTTATTTGTAGAGGTAAAGTAGAGGTCAAATGTCAAGGAAGAACTCATGTACTCCTCTGTGCATTATTTCATATATGGGCACCTGACAGAACCACAGCTGGCTGGATAGCTTCCCCACATGAAAGGATCTTAAGCCCCTGGAGGTGAGGGGTTTTAACTTGTGCCAAATTTGAAGAAAATCCTTCAATTGGTATAGGATCTATAGAGCGGACACGAAAATGGAGACGGACCAACCGACACCACAAAGCGAATCCATTATAGCCCCCCCCCACTTTTGTGGTGGGGGTATAATAACTTGCCTTAAAGATATACTATGCTCAAATTCGATAACAGAAAATTTGATAACTGCTACCCAGCCTCTTTGTAAATAAAAATGCTTTGACCTCACACAAAGGAGATAATTATGTTATGTTTAAAACTCTTGGTCACAATATGAATATATAGTGTCAGGGCTCTAGCAACTGGGCGATTTAGGCGATTAAGTCGCCCGATTCATCTGAACTTCGCCGACTGTGAACATCAAAGCGAAAAAAATTTCGCTGAGTATTTTGGTCTGCCGACGCTTGTAAACATGTCTACGTGACACAAGTCGCCTGTCAATAAAATTTAAGCCACGCCTCCGAGCGTTGATTGGTACCTCGCAGTAACTGTAGATCCGAAAACGTACATGATAGCGGATTAAAATATCGCTAATTGACCACAATTAACACATGTAGGTGACATAAACAGCTCCAATTGGGACATGTGTCCTTTGTTATTCGCCGATGTAAATATTGAGTAGACGGGGTAGGTATGTTTAATTGTTTTTGATTGTGTTTGATTGCATAGATTTGTTTACAATCTGGGAAATGTTTGTCACGCGGTGCGTTATGAAATAAAGGTAAGTCGGTAATGAACCAACATAATTAAAATTTTGTGATAATTGCAATTAGTTTTAAATACTTTAAAACATCCGAATCAATTTTCAAATGAAACGATATCATTTTCAAGTGAAAATTTGAACTGTAAACATGTCGCTAAAATCCTGGTTACCGGGCGACTCGCAAAAGCCGAGTTCGTTCAAACGTAAATCTCCAGAAACAGAAATTTCTGATTCAGACTCTCCTGCAAAGAAAAAGATATTTACCAAGGAATTACGGCAGTCATCTTTCGATTGGTATGTTCACGATACGAACGGTCTGTGGCATTGTAAATTATGCAGGGACAATAAGCACGATAATGCTTATGCAAAGGGACACGAAGTACCCGCTAAAGCAACAAATCACAGTCGTCATGCTAGTTGTAAGTACACATAAGTGAATTAAATTCAAAAGCAAGATGCTTATAAATTTATAATAAAAAAAAAATTGTGTACTTCTTGATCATTAATCAAACTTGTGGCGATTTTTTTATAGGTGAAACTGACTAATGGTAATAAATGTTAAATCTATTTGAATTATTTTCTTGTGTGTCTTTGAAAATTAAAGGCACAGTATACTTTGACTTCTTTCTTGTGTATAGAAAAATGGGGTCTACTTGAAACTTGTGCATTTTTGTATATCAGAAACTGATTGATAAAAAATTTATGTAATGATAGACTGTTTCACAACTTAATAATTTCTTGTGAGTCTTAGAACTATTTTTTTTATTTTCAGCACAAAGCCACTTGAATGCTGTCCAACGGTCAACAATGAAAACTCAAAAACCAATGCAAAAGCTGTTAGAAGCAAAACTTCACAAAGATGATGAAATTGCGCTAAATCTCCTGAAAACAGCCTATCATATAGCAAAACGAGAATTACCGAAAGATGAAATGAGACACATGGTAGACTATGCTTCCCTTCTTGGTGTAGAGTTGTCAAAAAGTAATTGTAATGTGCAATACACTAGTTCCCAGAGTGTGTCAGAGTTCCAGGCAGCCCTGGCTGAGGTAATATTGGATGATAAAATCAAGGCTATACAGCAGTCCGAGGAGTATTCTGTGACATTAGATGAAAGCACTGACAATAGAAACTTGAAGAGAGTAATAATGTACGCACAGTGTGTAACAGAACATGGGTTAGAATATTGTCTATTGTCCAATAAACAAATCAGTGAGGGTTCAGCTAGTGCTAAGAACATAGTATCTATGGTTGTAGAGGAACTCAAGTCAAAAGGGCTTGATATTACAAAACTAGTTGGCCTAGGGACAGATGGTGCTAGTGTAATGACAGGCCGAAAAGGTGGAGTAGTCAAATTACTCAAAGAACATACCCCAACATTAATAGGTGTCCATTGTGCAGCTCACAGAACAGCATTGGCCACGTCACAGGCAGCCAAATTAGTGCCACACATGGAAAGCTACTCAAGATCAATTGCCAGTGTGTTTAGATACTTCCATAACTCAGCACTTCAATCAAACCGTTTAAGAACAATTCAGACACTGCTTAATCTACCATCAATAAAGTTTGCGGAAGTACATTCAGTGAGGTGGTTAAGTTTAGATCATGCTGTTCAGGTTATGTACCGTTCTTACCCAGCACTGTGTATGGCACTAGAAAGGGAGGCAATCTATGAGCCGTCTGCTAAAGGTCTATTACAGGAAGTTTCACAATACAAATTTATTGCCTTTACTCACCTTATGATGGACATTCTCCCCTTCATGACAAGGTTATCTAAGAAGTTCCAGGCACAAACAGTTGATTTCAGTGTAGTGAAACCAATGATTACCAGCACTTGTGAAAGCTTACAAGACTTGCTAGAGGCACCTGGACTGTTTGTTGAAAAACTCTCTAAGTTTGTGGTTGAGGAAGATGGCAAGTATGTATACAAAAGACCATTATCAGAATCTGACTGTAAGTCTGTCAATAGTGCCATAATGGAAAATATTGAATTTGATGGATTCTCTAATGAAAGTGATGATGAAGGAGATGATGAAAATGTAGGCTACTCCCCAGTGCTTCACTACTATACCCAACAGGAGAACATTATTGAAACTGTGGCACCCATGTATATCCAAAAACTGACTGACAACTTAAGAGATAGATTTGATGAGACTGAAATTCTTGAAACAATGAAAGTGTTAATCCCTAAAAACATTGTCCAATCTGACTGTTTGTCCAAATATGGCCTCCAGGAAATAGAAACCCTGGCAGATCACTTCCACATCCACCTCCAAAACAAAGAAGAAGTGAGGTCTGAGTATCAGACTTACAAACGTCTGGTGAAAGGATCATATAGTGACAGTGACTTAATTGAAGTGATGTGTTTATTGATGAAAACAAATGACCTCCCAAACTTAATCATGTTGTTGAAATGTTGTTCAGTTATTCCAATGACAAGTGTTCAATGTGAACGTGGCTTTAGTACCCAAAATCGCATAAAATCAAAGGCCAGAACATCCATTAAGTGTAAGACCTTGGATGATCTAATGAGAATTTCAGAAGATGGACCAGACATAAAAGACTTTGACTTTCAACGTGCCCTTAAAAAATGGAAGTCATGTAAAGTGAGAAAGCTATACTCTTCATAAACAATGATTAGATATGTACATGTATGAAACTGCTAGTTATGTACATGCATGAAAGTTTTTCAACAAGAAACATAGACACTGAATTTGTTGACTCTAATGGAAGATGTATAAATATGTATATGTTTTTTAGTTATTATGAATAGCTCATTTGACATTGATTTTTCAGGCTGAAATAGAACATGTTGCATATACAATGTATATATGTGTATATATTTTTTTGTATCATTTGACAATATTTTTAGTTATTGTGAAAAGCTCATTTGACACTGATTTTTTAGGCTGAAATAGACATGTTGTATATGTGTATATATTTTTTGTATCATTTGACTTTTTTTAAAGTTATTATGAAAAGCTCTTTAAAAAATTTGACACTTTGATTTTTCAGACTGAAATAGAACATGTTGTATATGTGTATATATTTTTTTGTATCATTTGACACCTTGATATCAGTTAAACCTTTTTTAAATAAGATGTTGTAAAAAATAATATTTTTTTACTGTTTTTGAACATTTGGGAAATTGTCAAAACCTCATTTTAACACTTACTTCAGTATTTAATAGATAAATATGTTCTTGTTTAAAAGTAATTATGAAAATGTTATGATATATTGATAGTTTATAGATATGTATGTGTATTTCTAAAATAAAAATAGTTTATTTAATTTTATCCATGAAATATGGTGCTATATCAGTCAAATATATTTCATATTTTTTAAAAATAAATATGAAATATAAATATGAAATTGGGCGGAGTTAAAACTCATATTTATTTTAAGGGACTTCTTTCGCAATTTTGTTTGAAAAATCTGATAAATACAAAACAATTTTTTGTTGAATTTTGCTTTGAAAACTATCTAGAATGATAGAAAATGGTCTAACTAAGAAAATTAATCCGAACACCAATATCTTTAATTCAGTTATTAACGCTATACAGACGTTTAAACAGTTGTTTACGTGACGTCACAATGTAGCGCCAAATATCGCGTGCAAAACAAGACGCAATAATATATTACTGCGCGCTGTACAATTGCAGTTGCGTAGCAAGCAATAGGGTTCGTAACCATTTTTCTTTGATAATGAAATTAAATTCCCGGCTCGTGAAAATATGTGGCATTTTATCATGTTTCGTGAAAATATATTCCATATTTCACTCAAACGAAAAAATATCCTCTTATTATTCTTATTTGTTTATATTTTATGCTTTAGTTTGAAAGGACATTCCTTCCCTTCTTGTGTTAACATGTAGACTGCGGTCCATTTAATGTTGGTATACCCACTTCTCCCTAAGTCTTGAAACTTCTCCCTAATGTGGGCTGAGGGAGAAGTGACTTCTCCCTAAAATTTTGGTCTAGCTAGAGCCCTGAGTGTCATTAAAAACCTTGCCGTTTTAAGAAAGTACCAACTTTGCTTGACCCATAATAGGGAATGCCACTTCTCATATATAGTTTATTTATTCCCTTATTCAAATAAGAATAGATTTTGTTAAATTTCAGTGATTGAAATATTTTACTCAAGGATAAGCATAGTAAGTAAGTAAGTAAGTAAGTAAAGTCTTTATTTACTGAGGCTACACATTTGGTTTCCCAATCTTCCATGTGGGCCTCAAAACATAAATATACATAAAATATACATAATTTACATAATGGTTATACAGCAAAATTTACAAATAACATACATGAAGACACAAAATGCATAATATATACATGAAAACACAACAAAAACAATTTACATTCAAACAAAATACATATTCAAAACACAATGCATGTACATATATTACTTAATACTTAATCTATGCAAGACCAAGGTACTTATGTGAAATTCCAACTGATATAGGATAAGCATAGTTTATCTTTAAAATATAGATAACAGAGTTACAATACTTACCTCCTCTAAAATTTGTCTACAGACTGCTTGTATATGATCATCATTGACAGATGATTCTCCATTGTTTAACTTGATATTTTCTATTCCAATCTTGAAAAATTTCTGGAAATAAATGAAAACAGTACTTTATGTCAATTTTTGTTTTTTCTCAAGAAATGCAAATTGTCACAATAATGCATGGAAAAACACTGTGACAGAGGTTATAGAATATAGAACAATGGCCAAGTTCTGCTTAAGCCGGTGGACGGTAGTTTGCACTTGACAGTACCGTCCAAGAACAGGCTCAATCAAACCGAGCCTGCAACATTTTCAGTTTGGCCATGTTGGGCTTTCTTTAGGGATTCTTATTTTCTCTATTCTAAAGCCTAAATATTGACTTCCAGTGTTAGCATTGCATATTGCAATCAACAAATAAGCCATAATATATGACACTATATGTTATTCTCACAAAAAAATATATGGAGTTTTTATCGATATAAACAACAATAAAACAACATTGTCTCATATTTATCTTGTTTTCTCATATTTTCAAATGCAATAAGAGGGTTAAACTGAATGACATATTTTTGTTTACATTGACAACTGTCCGTTTCTTAGAAAGAGCGACAACCAAGATTAGCGGCGATGTCTAAATGCCGCATTTCGGACATAGGTATTTCGGACATAGGTATTAATGGCCCTCGAGTCCATAATGTCCTTCGGGCCTGCGGCCCTCATGCACATCTTTGGGCCATTATAGCATAATGCCGAGCAGCAACCAAGGATTAACCTCTAAATATAATGGCCATATGGCTATTATAACACTATGAACCCTAAAAAATAATACATAAAATATGTAATACTCACATCTAAGTAAGACTTTATGATAGCGTCTATTTCTTTATTCATACTCTTCTGTAAGGTTTGACGTAGGATATCTAAGGATTTTGCCGAGTTGACCACACATCCAACCCTAAATAAATACAAGAGGGCCATGATGGCCCTGAGTTGCTCACCAGAAACAACTGCTTTTCAGTGTTGGAAATTATCCATTGTCAATATTTTCTGATATTTGATTTAAGCCAATCAAATTAATATGAGCAAACTTGATAAAAGACTACCTAATAATGCTACAAAGTTTGGTGATCATCTATCAATTATTTCAGTAGCAAATGATGTTCAAAGACTACCCAAGAATGCTACAGACAAAATTTCATTTGATCATTCATCAATTAGTTCTATAGAAGAAGATATTTAAAGGTTTTTTTTTTATTTTTAGCTCTAGAGACCCCTAAAAGGGGCCAATCAAATTAATATGAGCAACCTTGATAAAAGACTACCCAAGAATGCTACAGACAAAGTTTGGTGATCATCCATCAATTAGTACTGTAGAAATAGATGTTTAAAGGTATTTCGATTTTTAGCTTTAGCTGCCCATCACATTAATATGAGCAAACTTGATATAAGACTACTCAAGAATGCTACAGACAAAGTTTGGTGATCATCCATCAATTAGTTCTGTAGAAGAAGACGTTAAAAGGTTTTTCTATTTTAAGCCCTAAGGACCCCTAAAAGGAGCCAATCAAATTAATATGAGCAAATTTGATTAAAGACCACCCAAGAATGCTACAGACAAAGTTTGGTGATCATCCATCAAATTGTTCTCTAGATATAGATGTTTAAAGATATTTATTTCTATTTTTAGCTTTAGCGGCCCCTAAAAGGGCCAATCAAATTAATATGAGCAAACTTGATAAAAGACTACCCAAAAATGATACAAAGTTTGGTGATCATCCATCCATTAGTTCTATAGAAGATGTCTAAAGGTTTTTCTATTTTTAGCCCTAGAGACCCCTAAAAGGGGCCAATCAAATTAATATGAGCAATCTTGATAAAAGACTACCCAAGAATGCTACTGACAAAGTTTGATGATCATCCATCTATTAGTTCTGTAGGAGAAGATGTTTAAAGGTTTTTCTATATTTAGCTCTGTTGACCCCTAAAAGTGGCCAATTGAAATGACATGAGCAAATTCAAGTGTGACTGTCACAAGGATGCTACAGACCAAATTTGAAGTAAATCAGCCCAGTAGTTTCAATGAAGAAGACGATTGTTGACTCATGACGACGGACATCAGAGTATCCCCCTTTGATACTTATAGCTCACCCTGAGCTTTCGGCTCTGGTGAGCTAGCAAAAATATAAATTAAACCTTTGTTTGTTGGAAGTGACTAATTTTACTAATGCATTCAATGCAGACGAAGATAAGCCAGCACGTCAGTGCTCTCTGATCATGGTCTGCACTGTTCCTTATTCAGTAAGTACTATATTTTGAAATTTTCTTTAAAAATGATGAATCGTTTTGTCCAGATTGAAAAAAATGACAAGAAAATTTAAGATATTTTACATGGTAAGGTAAGAAGAGATAAGTTTTCATTTTATTTTTCTGAAATTTAAGCTACTGTGAACCAAATTTGATATGTACTGGTCAGGAACCATCAACCGGACACTTTTTGAACATTTTTCTATACAAATTTTATAATTTTAAAGCTAGAGGTACGAAAATTTGACACAGTACAGCTAGGTTCTTCTCCTTACTAACAAACTAGTTTGTTTAGTTCTGATTATGTTGACACTTATATCCGAGGCCCGTCAAGGAGGGTATCAAAATTACCTAAATTGTACATACTACAGTACCATGTGTCCGGACAGATATGTAATAACGTTGATTTAATTCAGATAAAAGCTTTGGTGTTCTTTTTTTTATTTTTAACATGACACACAATATTTCAGCAGCAAATGCTGAAGTTTTGGATATTCTATTATTAACTTTGCAAATAATTATTGCTGTTATATGAGGTCAGGCATTGCTTTCTTGACCCCCAAATTTCAACGTCAACATTCTTGAAATAGATATTAAAATATTACCATTTACAGAGGTTGAAATAAATTTATTTACTTAATTATAGAAGAAACATGCATTTATTGTGGTTAAAAAAGTGACTGAAAACCACTGAACAAAGAAAATTCTAAATAAAGCATTTTCGGGGCCGTCCGGGTTTGGTGGTTGTCCGGTTTTGGTGGTCCCCAACCAGTATAGCTGTAAATATTTGTTATAACTTACAAATTCGAAGCCTTAACTTAGTTTGAATTTGCATTTGGTAAGTATCCCAAATATATAGCCACCAGAAAAATAATCACGCAATAAATGGCCAACATTACAGCAATCAGATTGGTTTTTCTGTTGTTGTTCATTTGTAAACTTACTTTGCTTTATGTATAGCTACTGATGTTGCCCTATATGTAGGTCTATATGTCGGGTTGTTAGGAAAGTTTGCCAGTGTCTGCATCCTCATGTTGTAAGCATTTGGCTGAAAAAACAGATAAGTTTTAATATTTTATTCATGAGTGTTTTGCTACCTTTGTCACAAGTGGATACTAAAATTTATTTTGATTTCAAAACATATTACAGAGTAAATACAGATGTACACCTCAAGTAACAAGTATAAAATACAATTTAGCATAGTAAGTACATTTGTACTACATTAAGTAAAAGCAACAATAGGAGATTTGGTTAAGTACTTTTTGGACCATTACCTATAAATTATTCATTCTAAAAATATTACAAGAAATATTCATTCTAACACAAGAATGAATATAGATATGAAGTTTACAACAGATAGCTTTTAACTACAAACATAGATATAATGTACATTTTTCAATTATGAAAATATTTCAACAAATGAAGATCTTGTTGCAACAGTTATAAGCCTTGTATAACTAAATACTGGTGATGTTAAGAAACAATTACTCTATTACATGTACTTTATTAAGCTTATAATTTTAATGTATTTTTCTTTAGGCTTGATTTTCTAAAAATGTAACATATTCTTCTCTTTTTGAGACATGCACATTTAACCAGAAATCTTAACACAGACTGAGTTTTCCACATAATTTGTATAGTCATTAAAACTTTAACTTTATGCAAAGAATGCACTTTATTTTCTACTTACAATACTGACAAGATTTTCTTCCTCCTCTTTCTTAATTTCCACTTTTTTCACAGGTGATAACTGTGGCATTTCATCACTACTGTGTCGTTGCTTTTCATTGGCTGATAAAGTTAATTTTGATTCTGTCTTCACTTTTGATTGGATGATAGGAATTCCATGCCCAACAATCGGTCTTTCATTGGTTAATGTGATTGGAGGTGTGGCAGGAAATGTGAAAGGGTTTCTGGGAAGTTTTTGATGAGGTCTGTCTGGGGTAGGAATTGTGCTGCATGATGATATGGTGATATTGGGGGGCCCAGGCTCAGTCATGGACACAGACTGTGCAGGTGTCCCCATGGTATGAATATAACTCACACCTGATTGGTGAACACTTGCTGGGTTATTGCTAATAGCACTTGACGATGACACGGGAATACCCATGAAATTACCGGGACTTCTAGACCTGTAGCTCTGAGACGGTAGAACCACTGGTGTGAACCCCACTGCCTGCGATACAGACATATGTGTCGCACCAATAGTACCGGTGTTTCTAATTGCCGGTTGTACATTGTGGGTCTGACTAAAAGCTGCACTACTGAGTGCATGGCCTAATGACAGAGCAACTGAAGGTACTGGCACCAACTGGGGAGCTGGCTGAGTTGGCCAGGATTTTGAGGCAACTGGGTCAGCAGGGGTTATAGGTGAAAGTCCCCCTTGCAGTAGATGAGACTGTATATTTGATGACTTGTTTATACTCTGCAGTAAATCTCCATATTTAAAGTCTGCGTCCAATAGTCTAGTCTGCAAAGCAAAACAATAACATACATGTACATAAACAAACATTTATATGATGTCTTTGTCACACTGATAATTATGCTTCAACTTTAGAAAATTTAAATTTCCCGCTAAAGCTACTGTCAGAATGTTGAAATATTTCAAATTTATGTTCTGAGACATGTACATTGTAGGAGTATTTAGAGACAAAATATATTTACATTAATGATGTTTAATTAACAAATTTAAATTAAGATTTCTTTTCTTAAAGTTCTTAAAATCACAATCATAAAACATTTTTCCCAACAAATTGTTACCTCATACATGTAGTCATATGCAATTTAAACATATCATCAATATGCATTAGGCCAAATAAATTATAGGTCTGAGTTAAGTCTCTAAAAGGGTTGGTAGGTAGGAATTTCTTTTCATGTATATATCTTATTTTTTCATACAATTTTATACCAATACTGTTATGAAAAGATGAAGCCATAAGGCAAACCAAAAGTCTAACATTGTTAGTTTACAAAGAAGGTAGAGACCTAAAACACAACATGCTGTTGGCCTTAAGGCCACATACTGTCGGTATGAACTCAATAAAGACCACTCCTAATGTTATCCTTAGTTTGAACTTATATTAATACCAATCTCATCACGTGTCTATAATCTCCATGAAAAAAGTACATTTAAAGTCATTGACCAATTAATTCTTCCTGAGTCTGTCATGTTTATAAAAGAGTATTAAATCATTAATAAAACCCAAAATGTAAAACAAGAACTAAACTGCTTTAGTTTCAAATGTTTTTAATTCAATCTTGATTGTAAAGAAGGCTTTCAGCTTATTTGAACTAGTCTTGATTCTGCTATATGTACCTGGAACTAACCCAGTACTGGATCCAGGAACTAACCTAGTACTGGATCCTGGAACTAACCCAGTACTGGATCCTGGAACTAACCCAGTACTGGATCCTGGAACTAGCCCAGTACTGGATCCTGGAACTAACTTAGTACTGGATCCTGGAACTAACCCAGAACTGGATCTTAGAACTAGCCCAGTACTGGATCCTGGAACTAACCCAGTACTGGATCCTGGAACTAACCCAGTACTGGATCTTGGAACTAGCCCAGTACTGGATCCTGAAACTAACCCAGTTCTGGATCCTGGAACTAACCCAGTACTGGATCATGGAACTAACCCAGTACTGGATCCTGGAACTATCCTGGAACTAACCAAGTAATGGATCCTGGAACTAACCCAGTACTGGATCCTGGAACTAACCCAGTACTGGATCCTGGAATTAACCCAGTACTGGATCCTGGAACTAACCCAGTACTGGATCCTGGAACTAACCCAGTACTGGATCCTGGAACTAACCCAGTACTAGATCCTGGAACTAACCCAGTACTGGATCCTGGAACTAACCCAGTACTGGATCCTGGAACTAACCCAGTTCTGGATCCTGGAACTAACCCAGTACTGGATCCTGGAACTAACCCAGTACTGGATCCTGGAACTAACCCAGTTCTAGATCCTGGAACTAACCCAGTACTGGATCTTGGAACTTACCCAGTACTAGATCCTTGAACTAACCCAGTACTGGATCCAGGAACTAGCCTAGTACCGGTGTCATATGAGGAAACATGGTTGTGACCTTGGTACAGCTCAAACCCCAAGATCTCTAGGTTGAACACTTGAAATACAGACACCTTTACCACTAAGCTCACACTTCACACTATACTAATTTTGTGTCTAATTTTTTTTCTTTCATATTAAACATAAACAAAAAATATTATATAAGCATTTTTTTTTCTAACTTTTTTTGTTACATTATTAAACCACGAAAATTATTGTAAAATAATAGATACATATGATGATGCATTGGAATAAATTTTTAATCCATAATGCTAAAATGCTTGCTTGAAAAGCAGACCATTCTACTTGAAACACTTGGTAGTGTTACTCTAATATACAGATAAAATATAGACAATTTGGGATAATTTATACCCAACATGCCCTATTAAGTCATTGATTAATTTAAATGTGTTGAGAGATTGCTAGCAGGCAGAAGGTATATAAATATATAATCATTCCGGTAATTAATAAATTTTTTTTTGGTTAAAAGCCTGTCAATCACCAAGAGACAAATTGCTTAACCAAATTTGAAAAAAAAAAATTATATGTATACTCCAATAAAACAAAAAGAGTAGATATATTACCATTAAAGAAACAAGAGTACCACATGAAGTTAATGCTTGTTTGTGAAAATTTTCAAGTTAAAAAGGGGCATAACTCTAAAATTATTGCTTTCAAAATTATGTCCCTCGTCTAACTACTGTACCTTGTCTTGATAAGCAAGTTTCAAGTTGATAACTTTTAAAATCTTTGAATAATAGGCTACTTTAAAGTTTTTTCATGACAACAATGAGGCCGCAGTGATCGTAACAGTTTGACTTTTTATTCGAAAGCAGAAACGCTAATAAAAATAACATTTGTTACCTCTGATACTGTTTGGTGAGCAGAAGTCTTTACTAGATTCACTGCTTGAGGCCTGGCAGATCCAGTGTGAGCCACAATGACTTTTGCTGTCGGATCGGCCCCAACAGGCATGTGGGCAGGCGATGGGGTTCTTCTTTTGGCTATTACATGCTGTGGGGATGGGATCCTTTGATGAGCTGGGAGAGGCTGTGTTTGTCTACCTGGACTTCTTTGTCCTACAACAACAGATTGCGCTGTTTCTTTTAAAAGATTTCCAGATGTGGGACCTCCTACTCCTTGTGCTAATTGTTGAGATTTGTACTGCTGAAATAAATCCTCGTGCGCTACATGTTTTCCGCACTGCAATGTCTGAGCTAAAAACGGCAGGTGTGACAGTAACTGACCTTGAGTTTGACGACCTTGAACTTGACTGTGAATGGAAGTTTGACCTCCTGACATACCAGCTATGTTTATGAGTTCTGTAGATCTGACATTTTTTGGTGAAGGAGATTGCCTTTCTGTATACACTGATCTAGACGGTGACAAACTTTTCTTTGGAGGAAGAGTTGTTGGTGTCCTGGACGGAGACAAACCTGTCCTTGGTGAGATTGATGATGACACAGATGGAGGCAGCGTTGTTATCACTCTAATGGGAGACTGACCTCTTCCTGTGACATGACCTGTTTCTGATATGACCCTTGCATGACTTGCTTGCAAGCTGGGATGTGGTGACCTAAGAATTGTTGACAAAATGTTCAGGGAACCAGGTACTTGACCAGGCTGGTTTGACATGCTTGCCATGGTGTGCCTGGGACCAGGTGGATGGTATCCTCTATGAGGCGAAACTGACCTTGACCCTGAAAATAAATACAATGAATAGTAAAAAAAGTAGAGGTCTACATTAAAGTTTCTGGATGGCAATGGCAACAAGAACCGGACTGCAGCAATAGCTTGAAATTTTTCTTTGAAAAAGTTGAGCTAAAAATGTCTTGTTGACAGACACTGTCATACTTGAACATTAACATAATATTTAGATCTAGTTTAAAACTAAGGTGGCACTTTGGGGTTCTTCTTTTGGCTATTATAAGCTGTGGGGATAGGATCCTTTTAATTTAATTAAAAAGAAACTAACTGTCATATACTTAAAGGTCTACTAACCAAAGCACAACATTTAAATTTTCATAAAAATACTTGAACTTAAATGAACCAAAGAGAATTAATAAAATACACTTAATAAAGAAATACTAGACATGTGTCCATAGGACACGGGTGCCCCCACCCTCCACCTGTCTCTAGGTCAAATATTGTTTTGGCTACATGTGCCAAAGTTGAAAACTAAAAATCTTTTACTTAATAAAGGGCAAATACTACAAATACTGAATAAATCCACAAGAAAACCCCAAGGTGCATAAGTACACATGCTGACCAGCATTCTTGTAAACTTTCAGGACTACAGGTCAAATGCTTTTTGAGTTACGTGCAACATGTTGAATATTGTAAATTTTTACTAAGTCAAGGGCAAATAACTCTAAAAATACTAAAAATAACCACACGAAAATACCCAGGTGCACAACTACAAATGCTGAGCAAAATTCCTGTACGGTTTCATGACTCTAGGTCAAATACTTCTTTAGTTATGTGCGACACAAGTTGAAAATTGGAAATTTTTACTAATTCAAGGGCAATAATTCTAAAAATACTAAACATATCCACACAAAAAATACCCAGGTGCACAACTACACATGCTGATCAACATTCCTGTACGGTTTCATGACACTAGGTCAAATATTTTTTGAGCTACGTGCGACACAAGTTGAAAATTGCAAATTTTTACTAAGTCAAGGGCAATAACTCTAAAAATACAAAAAGAGAACGGATGGACGGATGGATAAGGGTAAATCTAAATGCCCCCCCCCATAGTGGGGGCACAATAAACTGTAGCACAAAAATAGATTTTGATTTATTTTGTTTTTCAATTCAACTCCAAAAGATAATGTAACACAAAGATATTAAATCTAAATAACACATTACCATCTTTTCTTGGGTCCATGTTTACAGTTTAAACTGCTCTGTTTGGACCAGTCTTTTAAAACTGCTCCCCTGAAATTCAAAATGAAAAAAGTTTAAAATCTGATAACTTTAAAATTTTACAGCATGTAGATACAATTTGAAAAGAAATGCAATCAGGGCTGGGAATCAAAACTGCGTCGTATCCTACAAAATGTAAACAAACGCCGCCATCTTGGAACGAAAAACGTATGTTTTTGTTTATAACTTTTTTTGTTGGAAATGACTGAAAACCAGATATATGTATTAACACGCTACACTATTTTCCGCTTCGTTCGGTATATGTTGCTTGCACAACTATTTTGTAAAACAAAAGTTATAGCGAACTTGCATCTCGAAGCGGGGCAGAATTTTTATGAAAATGTGTGGATACGACGCAGTTCATATTGCTTTTATCTAATCGTTTTTTTTCAAATCAATTATATATTTGTTTCAATGTTCACCATAAACTTCGAAATATAATTTTTGCATCATTTACTAAAATTTCATTAAAAAGAGATGTTTATTTTCCAAGAAAATAATGATTTTTACGAAATGATACGACGCAGTTGCATTTTTGGCAGTCTTTTCAACAGGGATAATTTTGGCACAAAATATTTCTATTTTATGGAATAATTCACTTGCGCTAGATAAAAAACCCAGATCATTTGCGGTGTATAGCAATGTCTATTGCTTTTGATTATTTAGAATACATGCATTGTGTCATGTCCAATATTACATTTAATTTGAAAGTTTACATTGCGTAAGCTACTTTTCAGTTAAACATGTTACCTAATTGTTCATAATATCTGAAATGATTTCTTATATTTTCCTGAATGCTCAATATATTATCCCTATTTTTTTTTTTCGCAAAAAAAATATAGAAATCTATTAAACTTGAATTCATGTTGGCTAGCTACGCTCTAAGTTAAACTGTGGTTCTGCATGTTCTGGGTAATGACTGCTTTTTTGTGGTTTGGTTTTCCAAACTTTCACTCTACACATTTAGCTTTTACTAGGGCGAGGACCTCAGGTGCGCCTTTGTGCATTATTTCAGGCAAAATGGTGACCTGCGAGAGAACCATCCACATTTTGAAATAGCTTGATAGGTTTTTTCCACACGAAAGGAATAAAAAATCCCTGGTGGTTTTCGAATTCATTGGCAGTTCAGTTCAAAGTGATTTGAATTCAGTAAACATAAACAGCTGGTACGGTCGGACACACCTGTCTGATTTGTTTTTTCAACAAAATTTTGTTAACGTCAGCTGTACATAATAGCAGCTTTTTTATTAACTTCGGGCATAATTTTAATTATAAGATTATAAATATTTGAAATTAATTATAAAGATAATAAACATTTAAATTTTCTTATTTCGGTAATCCTCTGTGAAGTCAATTTCTGAAAACCTTTGTTTAAAGTTTTCAGGCAATTCATTATCAAATAATCCACACTTTAGTATGAAGGTATGTTAAGATGCTATGTCTCTAGTCTGTTGAAAATTCGATGCGATAATCTGACCTTAATTTTCTGCTTCAATCACAGGAGCTTGAAAGTCTATCAATAATTGCCCTAAAGTCAAATTCCCAAAAAAAAATCCATACCTATAAATAAAAAAAGTGTTTTTTTTTATATATAGGTATGGATTTTTTTGGGGGAATTTGACTTTAGGGCAATTATTGATAGAATTTCAAGCTCCTGTGGTTCAATATTGTGAAAACTTCTTCAATACTGTTGAAAGATCATGTCTGCCTATATCTGTATCAAATTTATCGGTGCATAGCGTAAAATACCTTTGCAAAACGGACACCTTCTTTACAAAATAATCTGTAGTTGTATGCTATGTAACTCGATTTTGAAAATATAAAGTTTTTTAATGGAGAAGAATGATACTTAAGTGCAAATATAGAAAATACATTCCGTAGACCTTTCCTCATCGGCGATAAAGAAATGCAATACGACAACATCAGAGGTAAAGTTCCGCCGCGCTGAACATAAAATGACTAAACGGAACGCATAACCTACTTGCAAAAATATATTGTAGCTTAACCATTTAAAATATAATTTTAAAGATTTAATGTTCAGTTTTAAATAATAAAGCTCATCTGTTCTCACCGATTATTAAGAAAATGAATACAATAAAATCGGCACGTAAAAGACATAAGTAATAACGGAATTGACGGAAATTATTGCTAATTACAAGTAACAAAGTTAGGCATGCAATTTGCGCATAGCTCTTTTCCGATAGCAAGAGACATTTTCAAAATTTGTAATTCTTTCTCTCTTTTTTTTTTAAAAAAAAAAGGTCATTTCTGATTAATACTAGTACAGGGTTCAGGAGAGGTTACACTGGAATAATGAATTTTGTATCAAAAATAGTAATCACTCCCATTTTGAACTCACGGGAACAATTTTTAGAAGCATGCTAAGGCAACACTGGAACACGTTGTCATATGGTTTGTTGCGATCACGTGTTTATTGCACAATGTATGTTGCATTTAATACGGTTTTTCGGAATTTGTAGAAGCTCAATATGATAGGTACTTAAATGCGACCGAAAAATGCAGCCTTAATAGAATTGTATAACATTTCCATTTTTATGGAACCAATGAGTGACCTCTGCTTTTGACTTAAGTTTTAAACAAGAAATGTTGTTGGACGTTATTAGCATACCTAGCACATAATGTAAATAGTTTAAAACCAATATGCAGGCCTGCAATGAAAATACAACTGCGTCGTATCATATTTTATTTTCAACTGCGTCGTATCATTTCGTAAAAATCATTATTTTCTTGGAAAATAAACATCTCTTTTTAATGAAAATTTAGTAAATGATGCAAAATTATGTTTTGAAGTTTATAGTGAACTCTGAAAACGAGTATATAATTGATTTGAAGGAGAAACGATAGATAAAGCAATATGAACTGCGTCGTATCCACACAATTTCATAAAAATTCTGCTCCGCTTCGAGATGCAAGTTCGCTATAACTTTTGTTTTACAAAATAGTTGTCTAAGCAACATATACCGAACGAAGCGGAAAATAGTGTAGCGTGTTAATACATATATCTGGTTTTCAGTCATTTCCAACAAAAAAAGTTATAAACAAAAACATACATTTTTCGTTCCAAGATGGCGGCGTTTGTTTACATTTTGTAGGATACGACGCAGTTTTGATTCCCAGCCCTGGCAATGTCACAATAGTGATATTTATGGACAACAAAATAAAGAAATTATTCCTATCATTTTAACTTCTGAATCCATTAATTATTCCCAAAATGTTAAATGATTCTTATTCAAAAAAAATTTGGCAGGAAATAAAGGTTAACCATATTAAAGATTTTGTCATATAACTATATTACCATAAAAAATAATTCACCACGAAATAATCAAGCATTCCTCAGTTCGAACCTCCCTCCACTTTCGGATTGGCGCTGGTACCAAAGAAATGGGAAAAAATGCAGTTTTGACTCATTTGGAAATTCATATAATACATCAGGTACTCAAGGGGAATTTTCATACCCAGGGAGAATTGACAATTATGCAAGATAAATAGTGAATAATAGGTTGGTGCTGTGGATGGAGAAAGTTTATCTGGCGAGGCGGAGCAGCAGAGCCAGATAAACTTTCTCCATCCACGGCACCAATCTATTATTCTATTTATCCTGTCACCGTTTTTTTTAAAGAATTTTATTAAAAAAGGAAAACTACCTTTGATCACACTATCGGAAACGTTTCTATATAAACAAAGAAGGCTCGAAGCGTGCATTATTCTACAACAATGCACTCGCCGTTCTTATTATCTCCCTGTGTATTTTCACATTGAGGGCGCCATTTTGTTTGAAAAATGTGATAAATAAAAACAATTTTTTGTCGAATTTTGTTGTGAAAACTATCTAGAATGAAAGAAAATGGTCTAACTAAGAAAATGAATCCGAACACCAATATCTTTAATGCAGTCGTTAACGCTGTACAGACGTTTAAAGTGTTGTTTATGTGACGTCACAATATAGCGCCAAACAGCACATGCAAAACAATCAAATCAAGTACCCTATTTTAATGTCGCAAACAAGTTAAGTTTTACATTTATTTCACTTTTAATAATTTTTATTTCGCTTGAAAAATTATAGAGTGAAATAAAATAAACAAACAAAGTTTTATCAACGTTTCCAAAATTCGTTATTCTACACACAGAAGATTTATCGACAGTTTTTATATTTTTTCTTGAAAAGTAGTCCGGCAAACATTCATACCACGTGATCAAGTGCCGTAGATCAGTAAAAATATACGGCACCTTGTTATCGGGTCGAAACTGATACAAGTGACAGGATAATAATTATCATACACATTAAAACCATGTTTTATTTATGATAAGATACATATAAACTTTAATGTTTTTTCTTCTGATATGAGTTCTAAAATTGAGTACTGTACATAAATAGTATTTAATAGGTGTGAAATGATGAATGTACAAAATGAGCTGGGTACTGTATGTGGTTTTTCTTGGTTTTTACTGCATTATACTTATCTTAAATAGAAGCATCTGTTAGTCTTTTTGTTTAGTACCTTTATACCAATTTTGAAAGTCTGGGGAAAAAAATAAGCATATGGGTCTGGTTATCTGACATATGCACTGGTTATGATTAAAGATGGCAGATTGGAAAGCAGATAAGCATTGAGAAAGAAATTAGATGAGATTGTTTGTCTTAAGTTTTTTTTTACTGAAAAAAGAAACCTTAGGAATTTGTTTAAAAAAACCCAGATCTATGTGATATATGTCAGGTAAAATTGGCTGTTTCTTCATTTGCTAGTTATTACTCCCAACAACTTTTAATTGGCTACAGTCAGTGTACAAAAATGCAGTTGGTGATGAGACTTTTAAAAGACATCAAGTCATGATCGACTGTCCAAATTATCTCAATGCCTCTTTGAGTTTGATAAATCTGGTAAGTCTATAGAATATTAGTCACACTCAGGATTGATAATGTACTGATTGCCTTTACAACAACTCAAAAAAATGACAATTTATTGAACCATTACATTGTCATTCATTAAGAAATTTTGAAAGGTCCTGACCATGATAATAAAAATACATAAATAAGGCCTAAAAAGTTAAAATTCTGTTCATCCGAATACTATACTACTTAACTGGAAATGAATACTGCTCAATATTATGTTTAAATCTAAATATAGAGTTGAACAATTACACGAACTTGACTTATTTAATGTCTGTAACAAATATGATAGTTACCTGTACGCTATGACGTTTATCAATTGCTAATTAACTACAACTAATTGGATCCGTCTTAAACGGTGTCGATTGAATTTTCTACACATCGTGAATATTGATAGTGGAGAATATTCCACTAAATTTGACTGATAGCGGGCTGCTAGCCAGTGAATTAGTTAGTGATAGTAAGTTGGAATTTTTAAGTTTATATATTTATTTATCAATAAATTTATTTGTTTATCTGTATATCCAATCAGTCAGTCATTCAATCAGTCATTTATCTAGTTAGTTAGCCAGCTACAGTTGTCAGTTAATAAAGTTTTTAGTTTATTGGGCCTTGAGTATAAGGGAGCCAGCGAGCCAGTTAGTTATAGTTCTTTATTAATTTAGGCTAGTTATATTTTACTAGTTCATTGGCTGGTTGGTTGGTTAGATAGTTTAGTAATAGTTTATTAGTTAGTTTTATTTGTTTGTAAAGTTAGTTAATTATCTTTGAAAAGAACAAACCTTGCTATTTTTTAAACATGTTTATTCATTGATTTCTTTCGGAAATAGAATTACAATACAATGAAAAATATTATCTCGCAACTGGCATGCACTAGACCTACTTTTAGTGCATAACTTGAGATAAGAACAGTAAATGTGCTCATTCACGATCCAACAGCCTTATCAGATATAATCCCGTTTACATGTACATACACTTAAATTCTATTGGTTAGTAGCGGTTAAACATGCACATATAAAATGAAATAGTTATACAAAAACAGAAATGAAAAGGAGGTAAGCCGGTTGCTATAATTTAAATGTTACATTCTTAAATGTGTGTCATACTTGCATTTTTTACAGAGAATGTCTATATTAAAATGCTTTGCGCAAAAGTTGATATTGGGCTAACTTTATCATTTCTAATTCATTGACTTTATAGATATACATATTGATCTATTTGCTTAGAGATTTGCATTACTTTTGCAAGTACCATGGGATGAGAAAGTCATAAATTCGTTTTCCCCTATTTTACCTAGCTGCTTACCCCAAATAATACCAATTAAAATGTGCCTAAAACGAGACTCAAAGGTATTCTTTGAACCGTTTGACCCTTTGGAGTTTTATTTTACCGAACAGATATGTGTTAATGAGTCCACGGTGCTTAAATTATTTGTCTTGTGCATTAATTAAACGACAAGAGGTTAAAGTATCATATTACACCGTTCAAATAAACCACGTATTGATCTCAATGGTATTGATTGATTGAAGCGGCCCACATACTAGTACACTACACTGCTGGGTATATATACATTCGTGTATAGGTCTATATACTTTTTATTTTTATTTTGTTTACAGAGTAGCCTACGGAGTTGTGAAGATCGAGTTATAGTATTTGTTTTCATAAGACATTAAAGAAGTTAATAGCGACACTATACATACAGTATGTCAGAATAAAATAGTAAAGTTTACTTCATGGATTTAAAACTTTAACGGTATGTTATTTTTCTTTCATTTCGTCATACATGTATCATATGAGGTTTATTACTTATTCACCGTAAAATGCATTTTGAATAGACGTATTTAGATAAGCCAATAAGCGTGAAGAGAAATTCATGAATTCATTTCAATTTCCATATTGAACACATAGTTAATGTCAAAATGATTTTAATTTAGTTAAAATCTGATGCACAGATATTTATTACATGATCACTCCTTACCAAAAAATCAAATGTGATTATTATAGGTTATATTCTTTTAATACATTTTTTGATACAAAATTTTGCATAGCAAAGCAACGCTAATCATAAGTCAACTAGAGACCAGCCTGTACTTTTAGTATATCCAGTAACAAGAGGTACATTTTCTTTATTTTTCAGAAAAAATATAAAGGTATTATTACAGATATGTGATTTGTGTACTAGATTGCACAAATGGCGGGAGAGTATCGAGGCCATGTCCTTGCTCAACAGGCTGATCTGCCGGCAGTTTCAGTTAGGGACCAGCCGTCTCCACCTGTCCACAGAGCCCAGGATATATCCCCGAAGAATGTGTCGACATCCTCTTCCGTCCACTGGTTCAGCGCGAGTCTGCCGGACGAACACCCGTGTCTGTTAACGGGAATCACGTTCGTCTCTGGGGACATTGTCGCCTGTGACAACGAGAATAAAACGCTTAAAAGATTTGATATAAACGGGAAATTTCTAGAGGAACTATTTTTACACGACCCTTGTGGCATTTGCACTCTGCCCAATTCTAGCGAAGTTGCCGTGACTGAGCCGGATATCAAGCAAATCACAGTGTGTTCTTTAGATGCTTCTCTTGAGATTTCTTTTGAATTGAAAACAAAAAAGAAATACGAATGTGTTTCTTCGTATCAAGACAAATATGTAGCAGGCTGCTGTGAACTTGGAAGTGCATCTGTAGACTTTATTGACGGCAATGGAACGGTTTTGCGTTCTATTCTAGGCAACGTTGATGGAAAGCTTATCTTTAGAAATCCTTCCGCAATAGCATGCTTACCTTCCGGCGATTTACTTATATCAGATCCCGGAAGTTGCGCATTAGTTTGTGTGTCTCAGAACAATAACACAAAATTTAAAATCGAACCTGGAGGTCGACCAAGCGGAGTGTGTTCTGACTTAAATGGTGGAATATATATGGCGCAATACGACTCGAACCTTGTTCTGCGTCTCTCGTCAGGAGGAAACATAGAGGGGGTTGTTGTTGACGAAAAATTCAAGCTGACGTCACCTCTTGCAATGACGTATGATCTCAACCAACTAGCAATAACGGAGGAGACACCTAGTGACAGAATACTTATTCTCAAGGTGATTTATGAACAAATTAATAAAACTTGTAAAAAAAATTAATAACGTTCACATTCAATTTTATGTGGACTCTTTTCTTTCATTTAAATATTTCAGAAAAAGTACACATCGTCACCTCAGTGCAGTAACCGGTTAATTCCTATTGAATTTTAGAAGGAGTTAGCCTGGCAAGATATTTCGTAGATCAGACTTAAAGTTGTTAATTTATAGTTTTGCACTTTTTAGATTAAAAGCTATACATATGTACTTCCCATTATCAAACGCACACATTTCGAGTCATGGAAAAATCTTCAAGAGAGAGTTTATCAAAATAACACTGTACTAGAATGTGAAAACAAATTTGCACAGATAAGACGTGTTGAAGTCTGATAGTCGATAAGTACTAATCAATTATAATCTTTTCACATTTGAAGTACTCTTAATGAAAGTTGTTGAACAATTTGTCGTGATTACATTTTTACGTTTATCGTCTGCCGGGTTGTCATGACCAGCAGATAAGACAGGTATCTCGCGCGTCTTGACATTTTGAAGAGCTTTCTGATAATTAAATGGCAGTACACATGCACAGCAAACTTCAGAGTTGTTGAAAATTGTATAATTATTTTTCAGATGTTCTTAAAATAATTGATAAAATGTTGTCAAGCCTTGGAACTATAAATAAAGAAATGCAGCATAAATTCAACTTAGTACATTGCATTTTCAGCAATGTTTAAATATCTAACTTAGCACTTTTTCTCTTCAAATAATCGTATGCGTCTCATTTTAAGTTTGAATCATTCTTTTTCTTCTATCAATGTTTATTTATGAATGTACACTGTCTTCGGTGACTTAAAATACAACCTCTGTCTCTTTGGCTTATTGGTTTTAATCATTTGTTAATAAGCCGATGGTAGTAGTTCGAAACCTATTCGGAGGGGATGCATTTACGTCTCTGTGCCATAGACAATTCACTCATTTATAAACCATTAACAAACGCGGACACGTATTTGAAACATTACTAATGAATTTATACATATATTTTTGCAGTTGCCTTCCAAACCAACCAAAGATGCGGACCAAGGCATGAGTCTTACAAACTTACGTGTTAGTACATTATGATGTGATTTTGTAATATGAGAAACAACGACAAACCGGCTTGTTGTGAATTACGGTTAAAATACAGCTCAATCTTGCCTCCTCTGATGAGTTAAGGGATAGCGGAACAAAATCATGCTCATGGAACAAAATCACGACTATGGAACAAAAACCACGCCTATGGAACAAAATCACGCCAATGGATCAAAGAACAAAATAACACAATGAAACAAAAACCACGCATATGGAAACATTAATTTGTATAAGGATTTGATTTATAACATTGATACACTAGTACTCCACGAAATCCGCGTGTTTCCGTAACTCAGACCTTATTTTGTAGCTGAAGCACTTTTACAAAAATATACATTGCCTTATATAAATCTTTAAACTAAATTAAAAACCAACATGTTTGTCTCAAAATTTCCAAATCTGATTGATTAATTGATTTGTTGATTAATGTTCACCTCGAAAAAGAACCATCTTTTCCATTTGTAATTATAAGCATGATTATGACGTCAAACATGTCTTTAATATTTATTTTGGAACGAAAACAAAACAAATGATTATATTAAGAGTTCACCATTTTATTATAATATAAACTCGATAATTTTAACATAAATATAGAACAATATGTATAACGGTATGTGAACCGAAAGCTCACATGTAGCCATATTTAACTCTTTATCAGATAGTGGTCGTCTTATTGCGGTTTAACTGTAATGTTTAACACGTTAAGTTGTCTCTCTTTTAATCTGGATTGATTAGGGTAAATTTCAAACTATGTACTGACTGAATGAAGAACGCAGAAACCATGAACAAACGGCATCGATGCACCGGCTGATTTTAGTCTGCACTGGTTGCATGGGTAGATTGCAGGCTAAGCGTTAATTATTACAACGATGAATCTAATATTAAACATAGTACGCTGTCTTAAGTGCCAAATAACTACTTTATAACAGTATCGTACAATTGTCATATGTTGATGGCTTTATCTGATACAACGCGGTGTCGATAAAAATCATGTATTTTTATCATAAAAATAATGGTATAAAATTTCATATAGATTTACATTATAATTTGCAATAATTTATCACTGTTTAAATGTATTTTATTCGCTTTACATTAATTGTTGAATTTACAATGTAAATATATATTGTAGGTGATTTTAAATTGGAGATTAAATATTTTAGATTAATAGTGTGATTTTATGACGTAACAGTCCATTGAATTTTAATTGACCCCAGACTTTTATAATTCTATAAAGTGTTTGGTGAACAAAATGTGTCAGTGACCTTATTTTTTAATCATGGTTAAAAAATTTTTTCAAAATAGAAAAGTAAAAATTTGATACACTGTCAAATATAAAGAGTGTTTAACTTGTCACCTTGCCGTTAAAGGGAAAACTCTTACAATAGAAAACCTGAATATCTATAAGAACGTAGCCTGCCTTTCAGTGGTAAAGTATTAGGTATTTAATATTGTCGAGTACAATACCGAATTTTATTGCACGAATACAAAGCTGTACTCGGCTAGCGCTTTGTCCATTATAAGTTTTACTACTATAAATGGCACAGTTAGTTCGAGTAAAATACAGATTTGATATTGAACTTTTTAACCCCCAAAAATTAAAACTAAGCTTGGTTAAGTACACTAGTACAGACTTGATATTAATTTCTTTGAACTTCGAAAATATGGAGGGCGTTCGTTGCAAAAATTGCAGAGATGTAAATTGTTCCATCTGAAAACTATTTGTAAATGCGATTAACGTTTTGACTGTATCCTTGCAAAGCAAATAATATGCCTCTTAATTCATTTTTAAATTGAAGACAAGACTCCCGTTTCTAAATAATAAGTTTGCATAGAGATCTTTACAACTGACAAAAACCCAACACATTTTCAAGTTCGTATCTTCCTTGCATAGAATACATAAGCAATGCTAAAGAGAGCACACTATGCATTTGATACAGATTCGTTTGAAATGTAAACGAGGCTAGAGTGATTAATTGAGTCTTTATCACGTGGCGAGAATTCTGGGAGCTCATTGGTTACATTCAATAGAATGGTGACTTTTTTTCAAACAGACATTTTTAAGGCATTTGGTGTGTACTTGCGAAATGCAAATTCCTTAATTACTACGATTAAGTACTTGATTATCTATTAGCGATATTGTTATATATTTTTAAACAAATGGGGTTCTAAACATAATAACGAAACTTGAATTATCCCTCAAAGAAACGAATAAAGAGGTTTTGTTTTCTATCCATAAAGACAACTATGTGTCTGACGCAGTCAATTGTTGTTCCTTTTTAATACATGATCATAGAATGCATATCGAGACCGTGTCTTGTTATATGATTAGAATAATTATAACTTGTATAAAATCTGATGCATATATATAATACCGTAAGTGCGTGATTTAATAATTCTATCTTCTTTATGCAGATTCCTATGCAATATCGTTTATTCAAAAGCATTTAATACGGAATATTTTGTGCCGCCCTAATTGATGCAGAAGTTTGGAAATACATTGTTTACGCAATAAGCCCAGTAAAGAGGCACATAAAATTCTGTTGTCAAAACCGGTATGTCTTATACATGTATGTTTATGTTTTTTTATAACAAGTGTGAAACGAAATCGAAGCTTCTATTTTCTTTTCACATCCACCTTGTCTCTCAATTTTCAACATCTAGTACTTGAAAGCAGTCCTAGCACTTATAAAACATAGCAAAGCGATTAATCGTTGTATTCTAAAATCTCGGACATTTATGGAACGTCAATAAAGTGAAACGTAGCGAACTTCTGTATTGAATAGTGACGGAAATTGACGGGAATTTGCGAACAAGACTGTCAAAGTTTACTAGTGAAAGAAGGACCAAAACATCCATTCGTGCATTATATCTGACATAAGCAACCAAGTGGGTAAATTAGTTTAGTATTTGATAAATTTATTAATGGATTAGGTTAAAATGTGGTATTTACGTTCAATCTTGAAATCAAGGAATTCAAAGAAAATGTAACAGTACAGCATAGATCTACTTCTGCAAGAATAATCTGTGATATAAAGCACGATAAAACCAACATTAGACAATTGATCATTTGTTATTTTGTGACAGTTAATATTCCTCTTCATCGTGAAACAATACAAGTACAGTCTATTGCTCGTAATCCTACGTAATGATTAATAGAATGTCAAACTGATTTGACATGAACATATAAATTCTAGATGTATTTCAGGAGATACTATCTGATTTGTGATAAACATCACTATTAAACGGAAACTGCAGACATTGATTTCTGAGAAGATGATGAACAACAACATGAGCAACAAACCAATAAAATAGAAATAGTAGTAAAATAAAATGAATAACAAATGATAAAAACATTGACAAAAGAATGAAATGAAGACGGATTCTCGTTATTTAGAATTCACAAGATTCCTACACAAGACCTATCTAAAAAAATTTTAAATCACAAAGTCCTTTTTCTAAATGATTCCAATTTAGATTTACCCTAAGGGCCACACCCCATTTTAAACCCCCCCCGACACTTTCCCCGAAACAACACATATACAAAAAAAAATTTCCAAAAACACATAAAAAAACCCAAAACCAACTAAAAATACATGTACAAAAATATCCGAAATACTAAAAATGGATTTAAAAGACTGATCATACCCACGATTACCGACGATGTAAATTGAAAAAATACCCTTTGTAAACCAGAATTTTTGACAAAACGTGCAGAAACGTATTTATAAATGGCAGGAAAATTGAACTGTGTTAGTATAAAGAGCTGAAAGATTTAAATATCAAGTAAAGTGCTGTTGCCAATGACACCGAAAGATGAACTGGAATCCATATATGTCCACCTCTTCTGTCTGCAAATATATTACGATCATGTACTTGATTTTCAATTTCCTACAAAAATGTCTTGAAATTCCAAATACAGTTTTTTGACAAATCAATCAAATAATTGGCTGTAACATTCAATTATTTCCGAGTTCTCATTTGTTTCCCTTTGAGAATAAGTAATACATTCGAGCTAATCCTGATTATTGTTTTCAATGTTTTACTGAATTACTCTTCTAACTAAATTAGGCTTAGGAGTTTTTGGAGAAACTCGCTGAGTGTTGTTTTTTTGATCCTGTAGCGTATTTTCCCAAGGGAGCTTCCATAGAATCTAATCTAGAGACTTTGCATACCAGTAACTTTTCCTTTAATTGGATAAAACAACCACAACAAAAATCCAGTCGCCAAATATTGAATCATTTGTTGGATATTTATAGAAATATGATGTATTAGTCTACAGCACTCCTTAAAATCTAAAATTAGACTAGCTTTCCTTTACATTTGGATAAAACAGGGGTACTTGTAATCCAGGTCGCCAAAATTTATCACAAAAAGTACTTTTGAACAAATTTCAGTTACGTCTTTAACGTTTCCAAAGCATTAAATGAGCTCCACTGTGACCAAAAAGCCAAACAACATCAAATCTGATTTTTTTACATATATCAAGTGACATACATATAATGAAAAAATCTACAAAGGATACTTAAGAAATTTAATTGAATGTCGATTTCTTTTTGTTGTGACCGTTTTTGTAAGATTATTAGCCCAATTTTCAATTATATGTAAGAATGGTAAGTTGGTAACAATAACTGGCCAATAATAATCCCAATTTTCAATTATATGTAAGAATGGTAAGATGGTAACAATAACTGGCCAATAATTATTACAATAGTTATTCCTGTATAAAACATACATCTGACATATTCGATAATGTTTAGAGGTGATAATATTTAGATTATGAATAACTGTATGTCCACGTTGTTAAAAACTTTAAATTCATTGTACAGTAACCATGTAGCATAATAATGATTATTGTACTTTGCATTTTCACACATTTACAATTTTTCGATGCCTTAAATTCTACCGATGCTCAACAGTTTGTTGATGACTTACATTTTGCCACTTGAAATCAAACACACAGGAGTGGCGGCATGGTCAGGTGGTTAACGCGTCGGACTAGTAATGCCGCTAGCCGCATGGGTTGAAACACCGTCAGGGGCAAGTCATTGTTTCCTTGAACAAGAAACTTTACACTCATTGCTCAGAACTGGTTGGTTCCTGGAACTGAGTCGAATAGCTAATAGCTTCCTACAAAGTCGAACTAAAATAAATTCTGTATAAATCAAGTACACAAAAAAGAACTTTGTGTTACTTATTATGTTCTCAATGCATAATGAAAGAGAAAGGGTTTTTCTGTCTAAAAATATTTTCCATAATGAAAGTTTTAGAATTAAAGCATTTATATCATTATTTAGGACTGGATAGAAATTAAAAGATTTGCACACATATTCTGGTTTTCTGTTTCCAACAATATAGATTTGTTTACACTTT